ATGCTAGGCCGGCAGGTAAATCGCCAAGCCTATTCCCACGTGCATTGCCAGATCCCAGGAGCGCACAAGGAGCAGTGGGGGGTCGGGAAAGAGCGGCGAAGCTTCCTGGAAAGCGGTAACTCTGAACCAGTTCGTTTGCAGCCTGCAGGGCCATGGCTCGCACTCTCGCTGCTGCCCCAGCTGCCACGTCAGCAGCTTCAGCTGCTGATGACACGTGGCCAATCAGAGCACAGCTGGCCCGACCACCAGCGCTGCCGCTGCTGCTGCTGCCGTTTCTTGTCACACTGCTGTCAGCACCCCATGCCTCTGCTCCCCATGCTGGAGCCTTTGCTGCCACTCCCTTCTCCTCCTCGTCCTCCTCTTCATCGTCTTCCTCTGTTGACACGTCCTCTGCAGTCCAGCAATCCGCTCCACCAGACCTTGCAAGAGACTCTAGAGAATTTTGAAATCTCTCAAGAACCAGTCCACTAGGTCCGGTGCTGCAGCAATCTCCACTCATTCCCCATGGGAGGTCAAACCCCTGTTGCTTGGCATCAAAATCATCACCATCATCGGAAGAAGCAGCAGCAGCATCGCCATCGCCATCATCATCACCACCCTCTGCTAGCAGGGGGGAAGAAGGACAGCCGTGCCTCAGCTGCTGCCCCTCTTCCCTCCAGAGATTCACCTCTGTTGCTTCCAGCACTTCTCTTGGCAGCGATATGGACTTGCCAAAAGCACCGTCAGGGCGTCTTGCATCCGTGCTGGTGGTCTGATCCGTCCTTTCCTGGAGACTGCTGCAGGCGGATGCAGTACGGTGGGACGCGGTATGGTGGTATGCGGTACGGTGGGATGCAGTGCAGTGGGACGTGGTGCGGTTGGAGGCGGTACAAGGACGCGGCACACGCTGCACGTGGTAGTTACCACTGGGGCACACCACATGGTACGTGCTTCCCAGTCGCAGCACCTCCTCAGGTTGAAGTGTGCCACAACACGATGTGACTGAAAGGAGGGCTGTGCCAGGGGGAAACCCCTGCAGTAGTGCTCCCGCAGTGACTGGTTCTGTGAGAATGTGGGCCCCACCGTCCGGGAGGAGTAGGATGATTGTGGCTGGTGAGAATGGCTCTGGCTCTTGGGACTCTGCTGAAACGGGCGGTGAATCTTGAGGAGTTGTTGGGGAGAATTGTGATTTTTGAGACGCGGAGGGAAAGAGCTGAGGGGGGGAGAAGTTACGTGGGGAGAGTAATCGAGAGACGAAGCCACCTGCGCGACCGGAGGTTAGAATTGATAGCCGCCGACCAAAAGGACTGCTCCTGCTGCTGCTGCTGCTGCTGCTGCTGCTGCTGCTGCTGCTGCTGCTAACACTGCTGCTGCCGGAGGTGCTGATGCCAATGCTGCCACTGGTGCTGCTGCTGCCGCTGCCACTGCTTCTACTGCCGCTCCCCAAGCCATCACATTGAGAGTTCGTGTATGTGGAGTTGGCAGCAACAGCAGCAGCACAAACAGCATTGGCAGCAGCACCAGCAGCAGCATAAAAAACGGCCCCAGCAGAGGCACCAGCACCAGTAGTGGCAGAAGCAGTAGCAGGTGCAGTGGGTAGAAACGAGCGGCAGCAGCTCACTGCAGCACCTGCGAGCGGCGAATCATCTTCACCGTTGGAACTTTCCCACGTGGCAGGATCACAAATCTGCTTAGTGGACCGTGAGACTGGGACTGAGAGCGGCAGGTCCTCAGCACAAACCACCTGAGAAATCTCCTGGACAAGTCGGCTCATTTTCTCCTGACGCGAATTGAGAATATTTGCGTGATACCACAGAAGGCTGCAAGCTTCAGACTTGAGATTTGAAGCTTGGGGTTTGAGGCTTGAAGGTTGAAGCCTGTGCCTTGAATCTTGATGCTTGGGACTTGAGACTTGAAGCAGGTTAGCAGCACGGTTGGGATGGGTGTGTGAGGACGCGTGGAAGGTGGGGATAACGGGTACGACCTTACAGTGGAATCCGAGACAGCAAGTTCAGGATTCAGAACCTGCGAAACGTTTTTCTGTAGGAAATTTCGTGCTTTTAAAATCGTCCTCCGTAGGTTCGCCGCGTTTTCACAACCAAAACGGAGTGGATGCAAGAGGAGGGTGAGGAGGTTGCGGGAGAGCAGACCGTGTTATAGTAAAGAGAATGTGAGGGCCTCCTTCTGAGAAGCAAAACGACGTGTTGGTGCTGGCAGCGCGAGAACGTCCTTGCAGACAAAAAGCCGAGGAACGGATTAATAAGCAAAGCGAGCGCGATGTGCTTATTTCTGAAAAGGCACGTGGTGGATACGCCGCGAAGACACGTGAGCGTCACTCTTGCCTCGTGCGTATATGCTATCACCCTAACGCCAATTTCAGACGCTGAAGTGTCTGTTAGGTGACAGCACAGTATTCGTACCAAGGCTGCACCTCCGAGCCTGTTACTACCGAGCCTGCTACCGAGCCTGCTGCTAACCGAGGCTACTACCGAGGCTGCACCGAAGGCACTACGGTACGCCCTACTAGCCCGAAGAAGTTCGCATCCGACCTTACTAAGGTGCGAGCGGAGGCACGGTTGGTATGCCTTTTTTCCACCGTCGGATCAATCCGACGAAGCACAAACGCTTCGAGGAAGGTGGAAAATACGGGAGTCCCCAAGGGATCTCTCAGACGGCCCGACAATAGGCGAGGGTTCTGAGAAGAACGAACAAAAGGAATCTGATCCGAAGATGCAAGGGTACGCAAGTCTTTGACTCTTTTCAGTCGAGTCGAGCAAGGAGTTATCCAGCTTGAACTCAGCAAGAGCATGTGCCATCGACTTAGGGTTTGCCGAATTGGAGGTAAGGCCGCGTCTCTCGACTCCAACTGGGCTCGTCTAGTTGGTATGTCTTGTGAGTCCATGGTGAAAGAGGTCCTACTGAGCGGGTGTAGTGGTAACCGTAACCGACAAGTGAGCGCGAGACCGCTTCATCCGTCTCTGCTCTGGCTTCGCCAGGTGTCATCTGAGAGGACTCAAAGGACAGCTCACTATTCGTTCCTATGTCCAGCGGCTCATCTACGCTTCGCGACGCGCGCCGATACTCGCGAAGGAGGAAACCCGTGGCCTGTTTCTGCTCGGGTGACTTCGCTGCGTGTGACGGAAAAGGCTGGACTTCACCTCGGTTTCCTCGTAGGACGGTGCTTTGTGCTGACCAGCTATGGCTGACAGACTTGAATCACCTGAGGATTGGATGGACTGGCGTTGAAATTCCAGTTAGGAGGTAACAAGGCGATGCGGAATGTGTCCGACAATGATGGAACAAAAACACCTAGAGTATCTGTCTAACCTAGCATTATGCTTATCTGACCGTACCGTATACCCCAGTTTCAGAAAGTCGGTCACGGGTGGCGAGTGTGTGTTACCCTGTATTCGCTGACTTGGAGGTGACAGCGAGAACCGCCAGTGTTATGAATGAACTTGCAGAGTGCGCAGAATATCGAATAACGAGAATGAACTGATTACTGAATGAAGAAACAATGAAGTAGCGAGGCCTAAATAGGGGAAACCTAGCTAGGCGGGGGGTTCGATATAGGATGGCTCGGTGATGGTTGCGATTGGAGCGGAGGCCGACTCGGGAGTGGTTCGGTGCGACGAAATAGGAAGGTCAGGTTCGTCGCGTGACCCTCGGGATGACCTCGCTAACGAGTGCCTCAGTAAGGATTCGTAAATCCTTACAGCCAGCATTGCAGCAGTTCCCTTTGCCTTGGTGGATTGGCAACGCCAACTTTCGCCGATCTGTTTGGGAAATGTCCACCCACAGCGCGCCAGCATAGCAAACTCTCGCAAAGATAATTGCCAGCCCACATCGCTGATCAGCTGCTGCTGAACCCGTGCCGTGCGACAGACCCCTTTTCCACCCAAACAGTCGGACCTTCAACGAATTGCCAACCTCGATAAGAGATAACTCCTTACAGCTCTAAACTAGAAAGCACCCAGAGCAACAACGAAATGTCTCAGAATGTGTAAAATTGTTGTCATTTCTGAGAAGGTGCTTTTATGCTTCAAACGGAATGGGAAACGAAAGGAGGATGACGAGTTAAATCACGCGCAGTACAATGGTAACGAACACTAAACCGTCATACAATATTAGAGATAATAGGAGTTTCTCGTATTGAAGAACGAAATTATGCATGGGTAATTACAAGCGAAAGGTGCCTGGGTGGGTGACGCAGCTAGCGTGTGGCTCTGGGCTTGCAGAGAAACTGGTGAGGCATGGCACAGGGGAGTGAGGAGGATGAGGAGAGTGAGGAGCATGAGGGATTGAGGAGCATGAGGTGAGCGGGGAGGATGAGGGGAGTGAGGAGGATGAAGGGAATGGGGAGGATGACGGAGTGAGGAGGATGAAGGTGCAACCGCAGCAGCAGCAACATGTATGGCAGCAGAAACGCCAATGCTAACGCATCACCTCTCCTCTCAAACCATTCCATCCCATATCCCTTGTGCTGTGCCTTTCTTTACTCCTGTCCCACCTGCTCGATCAACTGGCTCAGCTCACCTGGTTGGTTAAGCCGTCCCAAGCGCATTCCCGGGCACGACTTTCGGAACGACTTTCTAAATGACATAATCAAAATCTATAGTTTTGCTTAGCCGGCTCACCTGGTTGGTAAATCCATCTTGTGTGCACTCCTTTGCACGGGCGGCAGTCTCAGCCACAAGAGTGCAACGCTCGTGGTCGTCAGGTTGAAGGTCGTTCTCCTTGTCCTTGGGCGGGCGGCAGGTTACGCCCTTGCCATTCCTTATTCCTGCCCCACCTGCTCTCTCCAAAGTCTCAACGCACCTGATTAGTGATCTTGGGCGCACTCGCAGGCGCAGGAGGCAGTTTCCGCAACAAGCGTGCAGCGCTCGCGGTCGTCAGGTTGGAGGTCATTCCCCTTGTCGACGGGCGGGCGGCAGGCAACGCCCTTGCCGTTCCTTATTCCTGTCCCACCCTCTCCCTCAACCAGCCCAGCGCACCTGGCTGCTGAAACCCCACCATCCGCCTCAACCATCCCAGCCCACCTGGTTGCTGAAGCCGTCCTGAGCACATTCCCGGGCGCGGGCAGCAGTCTCAGCCACGAGAGTGCAGCGCTCGCGGTCGTCAGCTTGGAGGTCGTTCTCCTGGTCCTTGGGCGGGCGGCAGGCGATGCCCTTGCCGTTGATGGAGCGCACGTGGGCAAAGTACATCTCATCGGTACTCAGGTCTACTCCTCCCGTGCTGGGCTTGTCGGTGCGGTGCACGTATACCGCCTCTACCTGCACCAAGCAGTCACAAAGACAAAGCACGCGGCAATTTAGGCGAGTATTGAGGCGCCTGAGAAGATTCAGCTGCACTGCCAGCCTCAACCTGTTTTGAGGCGCCTCAAACAATCAGAGACACCATCGAGGTTGACCGGCGATGCCCTTGCCCTTGATGGAGCGCACGTGAGCAGGGTACATCTCGTCCGTACTCAGGTCTACTCCTCCCGTGCTCGGCTTGTCTGTCCGATGCACGTATACCGCCTCCACCTGCACCAAGCAGTCACGGAACAAAGGTACACCAAAGAGGATGGCAGGCAACGCCCTTGCTGTTAATGGAGCGCACGTGGGCGAAGTTCATCTCATCGGTACTCAGATCCACTCCTCCCGTGCTGGGTTTGTCTGTCCTGTGGACGTATACCGCCTCCACCTGTATTGAACGAGCGTGGAGCATGAAGGATGGCAGATTTCCTAACAAGTGTTTGAGGTGCCTGGGAGAACTAGGTAGATCGGCGCCTCGACCTGTTCTGAGGCGCATCAAAGGGTGGCAGGAAGCACCCCTGCCGTTGATGGAGCGCACGTGAGCAAAGTACATCTCATCAATACTCAGATCCACACACCCCATGATCAACCAACACCACCAGCATGCACCTTGCGCGGGTTGACAATCATCTTGCTTGCGGTGGCCATAGTAGTCCGTTGCACACCTTGGGATCATCCTACCACCACCACTCTCCACCACACTCCACCACTCTCCACCGCTACCACCACTGCCAACCCCACCAGCACGCACCTTGCGGGGGTTGACAATCATGTTGCGGTGCCCGTAGTAATCGATGCACAGCTTGGGATCATCCTCTCCTCGCAGACCACCTTGGGATAATCCTACCACCACCACTCTCCACCGCTACCATAAACAGCAGCACCACACACCTTGCGGGGGTTGACGAACATCTTCCGGTGCCCGTAGTAGTCGATGCACACCTTGGGATCATCCTCTCCTCGCAGACCACCTTGGGATAATCCTACCACCACCACTCTCCACCGCTACCATAAACAGCAGCACCACACACCTTGCGGGGGTTGACGAACATCTTCCGGTGCCCGTAGTAGTCGATGCACACCTTGGGATCATCCTCTCCTCGCAGACCACCTTGGGATAATCCTACCACCACCACTCTCCACCGCTACCATAAACAGCAGCACCACACACCTTGCGGGGGTTGACGAACATCTTCCGGTGCCCGTAGTAGTCGATGCACACCTTGGGATCATCCTCTCCTCGCAGACAGTACGGCTTTTTCCGCCGCTGCAGCATTCTCTCCACAGCAAACCTCTTCTCCTCCTCGCTCCACACGTCCTCCGGCCCGTCCTCCTCGCATATGTGCGCCGAGAAGACATAGGTCCCGAGGGTGATGTACGGGAGGGATTCGAAGCGGTGGAGGATGGTTGGGAGGGTTGCGGGTGGTTGCAGGGCGAGGTACTCGTCGAGATCGTGGAAGGCCACCCAGTCGGCCTGTGTGCGCATGCGATACATGCAGTCATGCATCGCTACCGCCTGGGAGGGGGAGGAGGGAAGGGAGGAGGTGGAGAGCGTGGAGAGGTGAGGATGGGGGAGATGGAGGGCAGGGTTGACCGCGGAAGGCCACCCAGTCGGCCTGTGTGCGCATGCGATACATGCAGTCATGCATCGCCACTGCCTGGGAGGGGGGGAAGGGAGAAGAGGGTGGTTCATGCCAGAATGTGTCTCATTGCACGCAGTACGGTACAGACAACTGCGCATACTGGAAGGGTTTTCTTTCTTTCTTCATTTCTCCTTCTTCTTTTCCTGAAAAGAGGCACACCTGTGACTAGCACGAGGCGCCGAATATCGGTAGGCCTGGGTGAAGTCGGAGACGGTGACCAGCCCCTCGTCCAGCATCTAGGGAGGGGGCACGGCGCACCTGCGAGTAGAACCAGGCGTCAAACTGATACGCCGGTCACAAGCCCCTCGTCCAACATCGGCTGTAGCATCGCCATGAGCAACCCAGCTTAGTCAAACTAGCCTTTACCGTACCTGCGAGTAGAACCAGGCGTCGAACTGATACGCCTGGGTGAAGTCTGACACGGTCACAAGCCCCTCATCCAGCATGGGCTGCAGCATCGCCATGAGCGACGGGGGCAGCCCGACGGTGTCGTAGAGCACAAAGTGGTCGTAGCCGCCTGCGTAGCGGTGGTAGTGGATGAACTGGAGCACACTTCGCTCCTCCACCTCCGCGTAGAGCGTGGAGCTGCAGAAGGCTACTCGCCAGGGCAGTGGGGTCTCTTCCCCTCCCTTCTTCTCGAGCTTCTGCGTTTGGTGGGAGGGCGAGGAGGGAGAGGGGGAGGGAGGGAGGAAGAGAGGGAGTAAGGGCAAGAAGAAGGGAGGGAAAGAGGCAGCCCGACGGTGCCATAGAGCACAAAAGTGGTCGTAGCCGCTCGCGTAGCGGTGGTAGTGGATGAACTGGAGCACACTGCGCTCCTCCACGTCTGCGTACAGCGTGGAGCTGCAGAAGGCTACTCGCCAGGGCAGTGGGCCCTCTGCTGCCTTGAGGCTCTGGGTTGGCGGGAGGGAAGCAGGAGGGATGGAGGGCGCATGGGCAAGAGGGAGGGATGGGGGCAGCCCGAGGGTGTCAATGCGCAGAGCTGCAGAAGGCAATGCGCCAGGGGAACGGGCCGTCAAGTCAAGAGAGGACAGGTGGGCTGCAAAGGCCTTACTTCCATCAATCTCGTGTTGTACTAGACCAACGAAACAAACTCAATGCGCAGAGCTGCAGAAGGCAAGGCGCCAGGGGAACGAGCCCTCGCTCTGTTCAGCGTCTGGGAGGGAGGGGATGGGAGGACTGACGGAGCGAGGGAGGGATGGGCGGGCGTAGCGGCGGTAGTGAGCGAGGGAGGGGGCGGCGGTAGTCACCACCTTGACTTCTGTTATCCGCCCTCACCTCCTTGACTTCTGTTCTCCGCCCTCACCTCCTTGACATTCTCGCGGTAAGGGTAGAGCATTTGGCGGTCGAGGTAGATCCTTATATGCCTTGGGCATTTCATGAAAGCGACAAGTGAAGGCAATGACTATTGAGGCGTGCTCACCTCCTTGACATGTTCCCGGTAAGGGTAGAGGATCTGGCGGTCGAGGTAGATCCTTAGATGCCCTCCCGTCTCCTCCACCTCTTCTTCCAACACGCACTGCAGCACCACCATCTCGTACTGCACACAGAATACCACACCACACCACACCACACCACACCACACCACATCACATCACACCACACCGCAACACACCTCCGCAGCATATTGCACCACACCGCACCACACGAAGAAACACAGACGCACAGACCAGTAGCAGCGCACAGCAGTCGCACGCACAGCAGCAGAACACACAGGAGGGACAAGCGTAACCATTCGGCAGTGACTTTTGAGTCGACTCAAAAGTCACCAGGAGGGACAAGCGTAACCATTCGGCAGTGACTTTTGAGTCGACTCAAAAGTCACCAGGAGGGACAAGCGTAACCATTCGGCAGTGACTTTTGAGTCGACTCAAAAGTCACCAGGAGGGACAAGCGTAACCATTCGGCAGTGACTTTTGAGTCGACTCAAAAGTCACCAGGAGGGACAAGCGTAACCATTCGGCAGCAAAGGCGTTCCATCATCACTCTGCCACCCGTCGATCAGGGGAGTGTCCGCCACAGAAGCGCTTCAGGCGAGCTGCAGTCTAGAGAGAATCTTTTAGCAAGAGATTGACAGTAGTAAAGCACACCCTGTTAAAAACCGACAGAAAAACGGATCCGAACTCTCATTCCACTAGCAAACACGTTTCGGTTGACTAGGACAGGCTCCAAGTCAAACCTTCATAGTCCCAACACCACCCTGTTTTGAGTCGACTCAAAATTAACCTTCATAGTCCACTCTGACTAGGACAGAACTCTGGCACCCGCCCGTCGATCAGAGGAGTCTGAATCGATCGGTTAAGGACTATGGCAGGCGGCCTTACACGCAACGCAAATAGAATTTGGTTGAATAGATGGGAAAGGAGTTGGAAAGAGAAAGGATGGGATGGAGATGCAAACAGTACCAGGAAGTTGTGATGCTCCTCCATGACCATCTGGGTGAGCTTGCCAGCAATCACCATGTGCCCATCCATCATGTGCCACCAACACCCTTTCCCGGACACCTGATTCCTAGCACCGTCCCCCCCACAACTCAACCCACCAGGTAGTTGTGATGCTCCTCCATGACCATCTGGGTGAGCTTGCCAGCAATCACAGTGTGCCCATCCATCTTGTGCCACCAGCACCCCTCCAACCGCCGCTTGCTGCGCTGCGCCAGCGCGCCCAGCCCAACCACCACGATGCGTGCCGGTTCTAACCGGTACGCGCTGCTTAAAGGGGGGTGGGGGTGGGCGAGGGGAGATGGGGCGAGAGGGGGGCGGGGTTTGTGATGCCTCGTAGGTCGCTTGCTGCGCTGAGCCAAAGCGCCCAGGCCCACCACCACGATGCGTGCCGGTTCCAACCGGTACGCGCTGCTTGCAAGAGAGAAAAAGCGGGTGGGTGGGGGGAGGGAGTGGGGGAGATAGGAGGTTCGAGAACACAAATAGCCGCTTGCTGCGCTGAGCCAACTTTTGAGGCGCCTCAAAAGCGGGTGGGTGGGGGGAGGGAGTGGGGGAGATAGGAGGTTCGAGAACCCAAATAGCCGCTTGCTGCGCTGAGCCAACTTTTGAGGCGCCTCAAAAGCGGGTGGGTGGGGGGAGGGAGTGGGGGAGATAGGAGGTTCGAGAACCCAAATAGCCGCTTGCTGCGCTGAGCCAACTTTTGAGGCGCCTCAAAAGCGGGTGGGTGGGGGGAGGGAGTGGGGGAGATAGGAGGTTCGAGAACCCAAATAGCCGCTTGCTGCGCTGAGCCAACTTTTGAGGCGCCTCAAAAGCGGGTGGGTGGGGGGAGGGAGTGGGGGAGATAGGAGGTTCGAGAACCCAAATAGCCGCTTGCTGCGCTGAGCCAACTTTTGAGGCGCCTCAAAAGCGGGTGGGTGGGGGGAGGGAGTGGGGGAGATAGGAGGTTCGAGAACCCAAATAGCCGCTTGCTGCGCTGAGCCAGCTTTTGAGGCGCCTCAAAAGCGGGTGGGTGGGGGGAGGGAGTGGGGGAGATAGGAGGTTCGAGAACCCAAATAGCCGCTTGCTGCGCTGAGCCAGCTTTTGAGGCGCCTCAAAAGCGGGTGGGTGGGGGGAGGGAGTGGGGGAGATAGGAGGTTCGAGAACCCAAATAGCCGCTTGCTGCGCTGAGCCAACTTTTGAGGCGCCTCAAAAGCGCGTGGGTGGGGGGAGGGAGTGGGGGAGATAGGAGGTTCGAGAACCCAAATAGCCGCTTGCTGCGCTGAGCCAACTTTTGAGGCGCCTCAAAAGCGGGTGGGTGGGGGGAGGGAGTGGGGGAGAAAGGAGGTTCGAGAACCCAAATAGCCGCTTGCTGCGCTGAGCCAACTTTTGAGGCGCCTCAAAAGCGGGTGGGTGGGGGGAGGGAGTGGGGGAGATAGGAGGTTTGAGAACCCAAATAGCCGCTTGCTGCGCTGAGCCAACTTTTGAGGCGCCTCAAAAGCGGGTGGGTGGGGGGAGGGAGTGGGGGAGATAGGAGGTTCGAGAACCCAAATAGCCGCTTGCTGCGCTGAGCCAACTTTTGAGGCGCCTCAAAAGCGGGTGGGTGGGGGGAGGGAGTGGGGGAGATAGGAGGTTCGAGAACCCAAATAGCCGCTTGCTGCGCTGAGCCAACTTTTGAGGCGCCTCAAAAGCGCGTGGGTGGGGGGAGGGAGTGGGGGAGATAGGAGGTTCGAGAACCCAAATAGCCGCTTGCTGCGCTGAGCCAACTTTTGAGGCGCCTCAAAAGCGGGCGGGTGGGGGGAGGGAGTGGGGGAGATAGGAGGTTTGAGAACCCAAATAGCCGCTTGCTGCGCTGAGCCAACTTTTGAGGCGCCTCAAAAGCGGGTGGGTGGGGGGAGGGAGTGGGGGAGATAGGAGGTTCGAGAACCCAAATAGCCGCTTGCTGCGCTGAGCCAACTTTTGAGGCGCCTCAAAAGCGGGTGGGTGGGGGGAGGGAGTGGGGGAGATAGGAGGTTCGAGAACCCAAATAGCCGCTTGCTGCGCTGAGCCAGCTTTTGAGGCGCCTCAAAAGCGGGTGGGTGGGGGGAGGGAGTGGGGGAGATAGGAGGTTCGAGAACCCAAATAGCCGCTTGCTGCGCTGAGCCAGCTTTTGAGGCGCCTCAAAAGCGGGTGGGTGGGGGGAGGGAGTGGGGGAGATAGGAGGTTCGAGAACCCAAATAGCCGCTTGCTGCGCTGAGCCAACTTTTGAGGCGCCTCAAAAGCGCGTGGGTGGGGGGAGGGAGTGGGGGAGATAGGAGGTTCGAGAACCCAAATAGCCGCTTGCTGCGCTGAGCCAACTTTTGAGGCGCCTCAAAAGCGGGTGGGTGGGGGGAGGGAGTGGGGGAGAAAGGAGGTTCGAGAACCCAAATAGCCGCTTGCTGCGCTGAGCCAACTTTTGAGGCGCCTCAAAAGCGGGTGGGTGGGGGGAGGGAGTGGGGGAGATAGGAGGTTTGAGAACCCAAATAGCCGCTTGCTGCGCTGAGCCAACTTTTGAGGCGCCTCAAAAGCGGGTGGGTGGGGGGAGGGAGTGGGGGAGATAGGAGGTTTGAGAACCCAAATAGCCGCTTGCTGCGCTGAGCCAACTTTTGAGGCGCCTCAAAAGCGGGTGGGTGGGGGGAGGGAGTGGGGGAGATAGGAGGTTCGAGAACCCAAATAGCCGCTTCCTGCGCTGAGCCAACTTTTGAGGCGCCTCAAAAGCGGGTGGGTGGGGGGAGGGAGTGGGGGAGATAGGAGGTTCGAGAACCCAAATAGCCGCTTGCTGCGCTGAGCCAACTTTTGAGGCGCCTCAAAAGCGGGCGGGTGGGGGGAGGGAGTGGGGGAGATAGGAGGTTTGAGAACCCAAATAGCCGCTTGCTGCGCTGAGCCAACTTTTGAGGCGCCTCAAAAGCGGGTGGGTGGGGGGAGGGAGTGGGGGAGATAGGAGGTTCGAGAACCCAAATAGCCACTTGCTGCGCTGAGCCAACTTTTGAGGCGCCTCAAAAGCGGGTGGGTTGGGGGAGGGAGTGGGGGAGATAGGAGGTTCGAGAACCAAATAGCCGCTTGCTGCGCTGAGCCAACTTTTGAGGCGCCTCAAAAGCGGGTGGGTGGGGGGAGGGAGTGGGGGAGATAGGAGGTTCGAGAACCCAAATAGCCGCTTGCTGCGCTGAGCCAACTTTTGAGGCGCCTCAAAAGCGGGTGGGTGGGGGGAGGGAGTGGGGGAGATAGGAGGTTCGAGAACCCAAATAGCTGCTTGCTGCGCTGAGCCAACTTTTGAATCGACTCAAAAGCCAGAGCCCCCAGACCCACCACCACGGTACGCACTGCTTGCGGAAGGGTGATGAAGGGGGAAGAGGAAGGAGGGGAGGAGGAGGGGGGGGGGGGGGGGGGGGGGGGGGGGGGTTGGTTTAGAGGGGAGGGGTGAGGAAGGGGGTTTGATTTGAGACACCTCATAAGTCGCTTGCTGTGCTGAGCCAAAGCGCCCAGCCCCATCACCATGATGCATGCCGGTTCCAACCGGTACACACTGCTTGCATTGGAAGTTGGGGGATTGGGCGCTGGCGCTTTGAGGCACGTGGCGGAATCGTGGGACGCACCTGTACTGGATGAAGCCGTAGGCGCCGGTGCGATGGAAGGAGTGCTGGCGCCAGCGGGAGGGGTCATCATCCAGCACCACCATCTTGCCGCGAGGCCGCTTGGGGAGGTCCCCGGCTCCTGCTGCCACCTGCTCTGCTGCCTGTGTGTGCACGCATGTATGCATGTATGCATGTATGCATGTATGCATGTATGCATGTATGCATGTATGCATGTATGCATGTATGCATGTATGCATGTATGCATGTATGCATGTATGCATGTATGCATGTATGCATGTATGCAGCAAATGGAGGCAAATGCAGGGACGCTCAAGCAGGAGGGGTCATCGTCCATCCACCACCATCTTGCCACGAGGCCGCTTGGGGAGGGCCCCTGGATGGAGAGAGGGTGGAGGGAGGGGCGGGTGGAATGATCTTCAAAGCACACCCATGCCAGCGAGAGGGAGGGATCGTCGCCCAGCACCACCATCTTGCCGCGAGGCCGCCTTTTGAGAATTCTCAAAAATCGCCCCCGAGCCAAGGGCGCTTGGGGAGGGCCCCTGGATGGATGGAGTGGTCTCTATAAGTCCACCCACACACTGCACCCACCCACCTTGACACAGTACCCATCTGCACCGCACTGCACCCACCTTAAGAGCCACAATCTCAGCCGCCTGCTTCCTCATGCTAGCCGTGAGCCGCCCCACTGTCTCATTCAGCTGCGCCGCCCGCTGCTCCGCGTCCCGTGCGCGCGCCTCCAGCACCACTGCCCAGTCGCCGCCCACGTCCCCCGTCCCGTTGCCGCCCGCCTTGGCTCTGGCCTGCTGCAGCGCCTGCACGCTCTCCACCTGCCCGCCCAGCCGCCCCACCTCCTCCCGCACCACCCCCGTTACATTTTCGGCTGCGATCCGTGCCACATACTCTGGGGGGGAAAGTGGGGGGGGATGGGGGGCGGGGTGGGGGCAGGGAAGAGGGGGAAGAGGTAGGGATGTTGGTCAAAGGAGCCCGCCCAGCCACCCCACCTCCTCCCGCACTACTCCCGTGACGTTCTCTGCTGCGATCCGTGCCACGTACTCTGTGGGGAGAGAGAGAGGGAAGAGGTAGGGGGGCAAATGATGAGTCAACTCACTGGTCCCCTCCACCGGCCCGCCCAGCCACCCCACTTCCTCCCGCACCACCCCCGTTACATTTTCCGCTGCGATCCGTGCCACGTACTCTGGAGGGAAGGGGAGGGGGAAGAAGGGGGGCAATTGATGAGGCAGGGTGCTGAGTCAAAGGGGGGCCGCTCAGCTGCCGCCCCACCTCCCTCCCTCCCGCACCTCCCCTGTCACATTCTCCGCTGCTATTCGCATGATGTGGTCTGTGAGAGGGGGTGGGGAAGCAGGGGGTACGTAGGAGTAGGGGGGGCTGAGGCAATGGGGAGGATGGAGGCAGGGGAAATAGGGGAAGGTAGAAGAATAAGGAGAGGCAGGAGAGAGAAGACTTTTGAGTCGAATCAAAAGGGAGGTGACATTTGAGTCGACTCAAAAGGGAGGTGACATTTGAGTCGACTCAAAAGGGAGGTGACATTTGAGTCGACTCAAAAGGGAGGTGACATTTGAGTCGACTCAAAAGGGAGGTGACATTTGAGTCGACTCAAAAGGGAGGTGACATTTGAGTCGACTCAAAAGGGAGGTGACATTTGAGTCGACTCAAAAGGGAGGTGACATTTGAGTCGACTCAAAAGGGAGGTGACATTTGAGTCGACTCAAAAGGGAGGTGACATTTGAGTCGACTCAAAAGGGAGGTGACATTTGAGTCGACTCAAAAGGGAGGTGACATTTGAGTCGACTCAAAAGGGAGGTGACATTTGAGTCGACTCAAAAGGGAGGTGACATTTGAGTCGACTCAAAAGGGAGGTGACATTTGAGTCGACTCAAAAGGGAGGTGACATTTGAGTCGACTCAAAAGGGAGGTGACTTTTGAGTCGACTCAAAAGGAGAGGCAGGAGAGAGAAGGGAGTGGCATGGCAAGCTTTGGGCTCGGCTCTGGCGCGCTGGTGCAGCAACTGCACGCCCAGCTGCCCCGCCTCGCCTTTCCAGGTGACTTTTGAGTCGACTCAAAACTCGCTTTGGCCTCGGCTCTGGCGCGCTGCTGCAGCAACTGCACGCCCAGCCGCCCTGCCCCCCCCTCACCATGGCAGAGGGGTGGAGGCGAGAGGGAGAAGGCGAGGGGACGGCGGCAGAGGGGCGCAGGCGGGGGGCGGGAGGCGGGGGGGATTAAGAAAAGGACGGATTGTGGAAGATGGCAGGACTCAAGAGAGAGGGGGGGGAAAAGGGGGAATGATGTGATGGGGGAGAGAAAGGGGAGATGGAAGAAGCAAAGCGGAGGGATCGAATCGAATGGAAGGGATGTACATGGGTGGGTGTGGTGAGCCGATGGGAGGAGATTAGCAAGAATGGGAAGCATGGAGGGAGGGGGGAGCATAAAGGGACGACGAGGGAGCATGGGGAGTGGAATTATGGGGGGAATGGAACGGCGAACGGACCTTCAATCGCCTTGAGTCGTATTTCAAGATCAGCTGATGGCTTCCTTCCCTCCCACACGTGTTGCTGCCACGTCACACGCCACGTCACATGACACCCGTCATATGTCATGCCACGTCAGCCGCACCGTGTCATGCCAAGCGATGGGCAAAGGTAAGGACGTGGGTGTTGACAAAGACGTCTAGTTTCAGGCATGCGAGCAGAAATGCAGAGCATTTTTATGCGCCTGAATGTATGTGAAGTGAAGTGGGAGGATTTTCTGCTCCATGGGTTTCGACTTTTGAGGCGCCTCAAAAGTCGCCTCAAAGTCGCCTCAAAGGCGCCTCAAAAGTCGCCTCAAAGTTTTTGAGGTGCCTCAAAAGACATGCAGAGCATTTTGATGCGCCTCGATGTATGTGAAGTGGGAGGATTTCGGCACTTTAAAAAACCGTCTCAGAACATAGGATCAGAACATGGAGCATGGCGCACCTGGTGCATGAGGACAAGAGAGAGAACGGCGGTGATGAGACAGCCTGTCGATATGCCCTGCCACGTGGCAACAGCATGGGGCAAAACGGCACGGGTGGATCCAACGATGCGAGTCGCTGCTGCACATATCAAATAAACATTGTACGCAATTCTGAGGATGACTGCGGCGGTAGGTCACCAAGGTCTGCCGTAATCTAGGGGTATTTCGGTGTCGGCGGTTGAGACGAAAGGAGGACCAATAAGGGGCTGCAAGCTGACCAAAAAAAAAAAAGTGTTTCGCTGTCACACCACGCAAGAGCAACAAGGGCGGCCTTAGTCAAGGAGCTGCAAGCTGTCAATCCTCGCTTCCCCCCCAACCCAACCCAACCTTTCCTGACCTCCTTCCCCTCCACCCTCCTCCTTCCCCCTTCTCCCCCAGATGTGAATTTTGTGCACTCTGAGTCATTTTTTAGGCAATTGGATAGTCATTCCCCCACCCACCCCACCCCACCCCCCCCCCCCCCCCCCCCCATTCCCCCCACCTCCCCCCCCCCTTCCCCTCTTTCCTTCCCGGCCTCTCTCCCCCTCCCCCTCCCCTTCCCCCCCGCCCCTATTTCCGCTCAAGTGTGTGTTTTTGCGCCCTCAGAGCCGGATTGCGCGTCCGCACGGAGATGCCGCTTTTCAGAATTCTCAAACATCGGCACGGAGCTGCCGACGCGGGGTTAACACGAGGCGCGACAACTTGATAGGTTCACAAGGGGATGGATTTTTAGTCGAGTCGACAATCGAGGCTGGGGAGGCTCACAATCGCCGCCAGCTGTCGCCTGCGCTTCGCAATGATCACTCTCCCCGGGAGAAGTCGGAGTGCGCATCCGCGCGCAGCTACCGAAGCAGGGGCAACACAACAACCTTAAAAGGTTAACAATGGACTTCTAGTAAGTCGACTACTAAGGGGGCTCAGGAGGCTCACAATCGCCAGCTGTCGAGTGCGCTTCGCCATGACTATCATCCCCACGCCGCTGGCTGCCCACTGACGGATGTCGCCCTGCCCCTTCATCAACGGATGATGCTCTCTGCCGGCCGTCATTCACTTGCCGGCCGTCGTTAACGACTTGCCGGCCGTCGTTAACGACTTGCCGGCCGTCGTTCACTACTAATCGCGCGAGCAGCGCAGCTTCAGAAGAGCGAGCCACGAGAGCAGCACGGCGGGTGCGAGGGAAAGCGCTGCGGTGCAAGGAACAATAGCGCGACTCGGAGGCGGCGCAAGGAACAAATACGAGTCGACTAAAAACGCCGCGAGAGCAGCCCGGCGGTGCGAGGGAAAACGCCGCGGCGCAAGGAACAAAAGAGCGACTCGGAGACGGCGTCTAGAAAGAAAAGGTGTTGGCGGCAACACCAATTTCTGAGACCCTGAGTGATAAGTACTATCGCACTTCTATTTTTTAGGTCAATTTCTAGAATTCTCGAAAACGACTTTCAAACGCAAGTTGGCAGTGCCACCTCGGAAGTGCACTGCAAAGGACTTCGAAATGCGAATTGCTGGCTCCATGTGGTGCTGAGAGAGTTTTATCCATACTAAATGGCTATAACGCGGATGTTGACCAACGTCGTCTGCACTGAGAGGTGGTTGGGAATTCGGAATGAACTGAACTGATGCCGGCGGTGGGTTCAAGGACACTCTCGGACGTTCGCTGACGACGACACGACTTCTGCTACAGTGCTTCAGGTCCTAAACTCCCGATCTCAACTCAACCCAATGCCATCGACGTGATGAAGTCAAAGCTGTGATGTGATTGAACCTCAAGCTTCCACCCATCCACCACACCACACCACACTGCATTCGCTGGCGACAGCGGTACCCTTCGTCCATACGTACGGTAGTCGTTGAACAGTGCGATGCAAACCCGCATATAAACAAGCAAGGAATGCAAATGGTTTGCCGCGAAGGACGGAAACCACCGCGTCGCGAATCGCGATGATGTTCGCTCCTAAATCAAATATTCACTGACACGTGCAGCGAAGTTACACTCCAAACTCTACAGCCTCACCAGTGTTACATTGTTACGTATTTTAGGGGCATTTTTTCGCCAGAGTGTCAAAATGTAACTACTGAAGACTGATGTTGTGACCAAACGATGCCTGAATTTTACAGTAATTTTTCACCATCACATGTATCTCATGCCCGAATCTTCTTTGAACCTAGGATCCCTTAGTTATAAGCATAAATGACACGGCCACAACAATATTCCCCTCATCGAAAATTGCCTGCCCTCCATCCCTGTAGTCCCCCAATCCACACCTCTCGTGTGATGCGAAGCATGCAACACCTCGCCCGGCACTGTATAAGAAAAGTTACCATCAAACGAGGTACACCATCACCCACGTGTGTACATAGGGTACATACATCACCATCATCACTCCGCTAATACCGCCCCCCTCCACCACCACCACCACCACCACCCCGACTGCTATACCCACCCACTCCCCCTCCCCCACCACCACCCCCTTGATACCCATGATGCTCCTGTTGCCTGTAGGCCCCTCCCCCTCCTTTCGACGACCTTGGAGGTGCTTCCTCCTCCTCATACTCATCGTACCCTCCCCTCCCTCCTCCACCTCCCCCACCCCCTCCTCTCCCCCCGTCCCTGCCATAATCCCTACCCCTATCGTCATACCCATCATCCCGCCCGTAATCCCCTCCCCCTCTCCCCCCACCCCCTCCCTGTCCCCCATGTGCTGCCCTGCTGCCAGAGCCGTGGGAGTGGCTGTCGTGCGGGTCCCCCCCTCCAGATGCGGCTGGGGCGTCTGTGAAAAAGGGGGGGGGGGGGAGGGGGGTTGGAGGGGGAGAGAAGGTGATTGCACTGCTGCCAGAGCTGCGAGAGTGGCTGTGGTGAGGGTCCCCCCCACCCGATGCAGCTGGGGCGCATGTATGTGTGTGAGCGGGAGGGGGTAAACAGGGAAACGTTCGCAACGTCTCCTTCTGTCGACATTGGGTATTTTCAAGGTGAAAGTTGTGAGTCGAGGGTTAAGAGTCGAGTGTTTGTGATTTACGGTTGTGTTACCTGCAAAGAGCGAGTTGAGGCCTGGCTTCTTGCCCTTGCTCTTCTTCTTCAGCTCCAGCGCCCCACCTGCAATAAAACACACAACCCCGACACATAACAGGAACAATAACACGGCCATACAGAGAGAGACATTTTTTAGGCGCCTCAGACATTGAGGCCTGGCTTCTTGCCCTTGCTCTTCTTCAGCTCCAGCGGCCCACCTGCCGTGGAACCCACATCCCCAACCCGACGCATCGTACACGGCCGGACAGAGAGAGGACAACAGAACAGCATGGTGAGTCGGTGTTTCAGGCAAGTTCCAAATTTTGAATCAACCATTGACTTGTCTTCACACCGAATGGCTCGCCCTGAAAGGAGATTGGTGATCGACAAGATAGGAGGACCAGGCCGGGCAAAAAGTTGGAAGAGGCTCGGACGGATGCATCACAACATACCGAGAGGGGAATGTGTCTCCTGCACGATCTCCATGTTGCGGTAGGTGTAGCCGACGAAATTGATGTCCTTGGATGGCAGCATCTGAGGTTGGGAGAGAACGTAGGGAGGAGTGGAGAGAAGGGGTGCGACAAGGAGTGGGCATGTCGCATGCACGATATACATGCTGTGGTAGGCGTAGCTAAGATAGTCAACGTCCTTTCTTGGATGGCAGCAGCATCTGGGTCTCATCCACTGCTGGGCGGCCTCTTGAGCTGTGAGGCTGTGTGACTCTGTGTGACTGTGTGTGACTGTGTGTGACTCTGTGTGACTGTGTGTGACTCTGTGTGACTGTGTGTGACTCTGTTTGACTCTGTGTGACTGTGTGTGACTCTGTGTGACTCTGTGTGACTCTGTGTGATTCTGTGTGACTCTGTGTGACTCTGTGACTCGTGTATCTCTCAGAACCCAACATCCAAGGACAAACGCATGCGTGCATCTGATGCTCACTCACCCTCTTCCATGGGGGCCTGAATTCTGCGCTCCACTGGCCTCAGGGGCCTTTGACCTGGTTTGCCTCTTGAGCTGTGAGGCTGTGACACGTGTACCTCTCAACGTCTAACAACTGGGATGCACCTGATGGATGCTCACTCACCTTCTTCCAGGGGCCTGCCTTCTGCGCTCCACTGGCCTCAACGACCTGCAGGGGTGACTGCTGGGTCGCCTCTTGAGCTGTGTATGTGGGATATGTGTACCTCCCAAAGCTCTCTAACGTGGGATGCATTTCACTAGACTCACCTTCTTCCAGGGGCCTGCCTTCTGCGCTCCACTGGCCTCAACGACCTGCAGGGGTGAGGACGCAGAGTGGAAAACGGGAAGAGGGGGAGAGAGGAAAAGAGAAAGAGTGTAGGAGTGAATGAGGGGAAGAGAGAAAAGAGGTTAAGAGAGAACAAGAGGAAGAGAGAAAGAGGGGAAGAGAGAATTAGGGGAAGAGAAAAAGGATGTGTGGTGTGGACAATGAATGAGGCATGGTGTGGTGGATTGCTGAATTGCAGTGAAAATTGGAGAGGATTACATAGAAATGAAAAAAAATGGGGGGGGGAAGGGGGGAGGCGGGGGAGTGTGAACATATCATGCCATGCCATGCATGCAAGTGCTTAGTTCAGCATGTCTCTCACTGTGCACCTCACTCACCTAATTAAACTTCTCGAAGTTCTGTGTGTCAACTTGTTGTTGAACTTGGGCAGGGATGCTCTCAGTCAACTCACAACACATTCTTCTTGAATTCAGCATGTCTCAACGCACACTTTATTATTCAGCATGTCTCAACGCACACCTTATATTTTGAGCATGTATCTCACTGTGCGTCCCACTCACCTCATCAAACTTCTCAAAGTTCTGTGTGTCAAGCTCGTCGCTAACTTCCGGAATGAAAGCTTTGAGTCGACAACAAACACACCCGTTGATTCGACTCAACCGTTCTGCTGCTCTCACCTCGTCAAACTTTACAAAGTTCTGTGTGTCTCACCTCATCAAACTTCTCAAAGTTCTGTGTGTCGAGCTCGTCATTGACCTCGGGAATGAAAGCCGCCTCCATCTTGTACAGGCGGTCCCAGGGAAGGCCGCGGAACCACGGGTGGTTCTGAAAGTGGGGCGGGTGGAGGGGAAGGGGGTTAAGCCAGGGGGATGTAGAGGAAAGGGATAAAAGGCAAGTAAGGGACGTAAACATGCGGAAGAAGAAAGAATGAAAGCCGCCTCCATCTTGTACAGGCGGTCCCAGGGAAGGCCGCGGAACCACGGGTGGTTCTGAGAATGGGGTGGGAGAAGAGGGAGGGGCGGGGGGTGTATAGGAAAGGGATACAAGGCGGGTACGGGAGGTAAGCATGTGGAAGAAGATGGTATGAACGCAGCCTCCAGCTTGTACAGGAGGTCCCAGGGGAGGCCGCGGAACCACAGATGGTTCTGAAGGAAGGGTTGGTGATGAAGGAGGGTGGTTGGTTTCGGAGGGAGAAAGAGAGGATGAAGGAAGAAAGCTGAATGCAGCCTCCATCTTGTACAGGAGGTCCCAGGGAAGGCTGCGGAACCATGGGTGGTTCTGAGAGTGGGGTGGGAGAACAGAGGAGGTCACAGGAAAGGGATAATGAGGAAGAGCGGAGCATGAGAGAGCTGGGTGGGTTTGGTGGTATGAGAAGGGAGCATGAGGACAGGTTGATAAAATTATCTCAGTAGATTGGTGCAGGATGGTGGTGTTTGGGAGAGAAAGAGAGGATGCAGGAGCTGGAGGGTATGGTGGAGGGCTGGGGCATAGGAGAGCACACAGGCACTCCACACTTTGTCCCTCACTCATCTTGATGTCGCTGACGCTCCTGGTGCCCAGCCGGTGCTCCCCGTCGCACAGCAAGTGGCAGATGAGGTCCCTGGCCTCTCAGGATGCAATGCAGCACGCATCACACCGTACGTTCCACACCACACCACACACACACACACACACACACCACACACTTCTCGCTCTGTTCACCTTGATGTCGCCGACGCTCCTGGTGCCCAGGCGGTGCTCCACATCGCACAGCAGGCGGCAGATGAGGTCCCTGGCCTCCCGGGAGATGATCACCTCCTCGGGAAACTTGAGATGCGTGCGCCAGTTGACGATCTGAGATGACGGGGGAAATGTGGGTGGGGATTGGTGATGGAGGGGTTAAACGGGGATTAGAAGGTACAGTCCAGTTCCCTGACCTCCCAACACAGTCACACAGCAGGCGGCAGATGAGGTCCCTGGCCACGCTCGCGAGATGATCACCTCCTCGGGGAACTTGAGGTGCGTGCGCAAGTTGACGATCTGGGAGGGGTTGGGGAAGTGGGGCGCAGGGAAGGGGAGGTGGGGAAGGGTTAGGCGGCAGATGAGGTCCCTCGCCTCCCGGGAAATGATCACCTCCTCTGGGAACTTGAGATGCGTGCGCCAGTTCACGATCTGGAAGAGGGCGGGGGAAGGTGGGGAGGAGGGGGGAGGTAAGGGTGGTTTGGGGGAATGGATGAGGTCCCTAGCCTCCCCACACAGCTTGCCACAGCAGGCGGCAGATAAGATCCCAGGCCTCCCGAGAAATGATAACATCCTCGGGAAACTTGAGATGTGTACGCCAGTTGACGATCTGGAAGAGAGAGGGGGAGGGCGGGGGGGGGGAGGTAAGGGTGATTGGGGGAATGGATGAGGTCCCTAGCCTCCCTACACAGCTTGCCACAGCAGGCGGCAGATAAGATCCCAGGCCTCCCGGGAGATGATCACCTCCTCGGGGAATTTGAGGTGCGTGCGCCAGTTGACGATCTGGTGAAGAACGGGTGGGGAAGAAGGGCATGGGAAGGATAGAGTGGGGGGGAATTTAGGCGCTCAGCCTCTCGGGAGATGATCACCTCCGTGGGGAGCTTAAGGCGTGTGCGCTAGTTTACAATCTGAGAGTTTTCTAAGGAGAGAGAGGGACGATAGGAGGATATCAAGGGGTTTAGAGGGTTTGGCAGGAGATGATCATGTGCGACGCATGCCCTGCACTGCACTGCACCTGCTCTGCAATGCACTGTACCGCACTGTACCACGCTGCACTGCACCTTAGGATAGGAGTGAGCAGTATTCCACACCACATCACCTTTACAAGAAGAAATGATGCAGCTTGTGAGTTGCTGTCATGTGTTCAATCCAATGACACGTGCTATCATACCTTGCGACAGGTTGTCATGGGGTCGTCAGAATAGAAAGTTTTGAGTCGACTCAAAACTCTATGCAGTTGTGAGTTCATGTCATGTGTTCAATTCACTCCAATGACACGTGTTATCATACCTTGCGACAGGTTGTCATGGGATCATCAGAATAGAAGGGCGGGTAGCCGATGAGCATCTCGTACATGATGGCTCCCATGCTCCACCTGGCGGGTGGCGGGAAGAGAAAACGATGCAGGGAAACAAAGTAAAACTGAGTGGCTGGGTTCGTGGAAGACTCATGCCTCCCATACGTGCCCGCAGCGCACACGCACAAATGCACACACACACATATGCACACACACACACACACATGCGCCCGCACACACACACACACACACCCACACTCCCCCTCCTCTTCCCCCCTCCCCTTCCCCCCTCCTCCCCCTCCTCTACACACAGACACAAACATTCACTCACCAATCACACTCCAGGCTGTATCCCTTCTTAAGCAGCACTTCAGGTGCGATGTAGTCAGGGGTACCCACCGTGGAGTAGGCCTGAGGGACAGGAGGAATACCAGGAGAGGGAGGACAAAGGGAGAAAAAGGAAGGAACTGGTTGAATGGGGAACTATGTACCCCGGTGGAGCAAGGGGAGAGCGGGAGAGGAGAAAACAAAGAATTGGGTTGGAGAGGCAAGTGCATAGCGAACCCCGGATCAGCCTGTCCCCCAACCTCAACCCCCACGTTGACATTTGAGTCGACTCAAAAGTCAGCCTGTCCCCCAACCTCAACCCCCACCCACCAGCGTGCAACGATTCGTCTGCCAGTTCTGCAGCTGCTCCGCCTGGCTGCGCCCTGACCCCGGGTGGTTGCCGTCCAGAGACACATTGGAGAGCATGGCAGCCGCCTCCTCGACTACTCGCCCTTGAGATCACACCTACCACCTCCCTTCCCTGCCCCTCCTGATCCCGCTTTCCCTTCTAGACCACCTGCCCCCTCAACTCCAGCCCCACCCCCACACCCCACATCCACCGCCACGCCACACCCATGCCTCCAACCCCTACCACCCACCCACCCCAGCTCACCAGAGTGCGGCGGTTCTTCTGCCAGTTCTGCAGCTGCTCCGCCTGACTGCGCCCAGATCCCGGGTGGTTGCTTCGAGGGACGCGTTGGACAGCATGGCAGCCGCATCCTCCCTTCTGCTCCCCTCTTCCCTTACCCAGACCGTCTCTCCCACATTCCCACACCACTCACCAGCGTACGACGATTCTTCTGCCAGTTCTGCAGCTGCTCCGCCTGGCTCCTGCCCGACCCCGGGTGGTTGCCCTCCAGAGACGCGTTGGACAGCATGGCAGCGGCCTCCTCGACGTCGACGGCGGGGAAGGTGCTGGTGTCGAGGGGCTTGCACAGCCCGAAATCAGACAGCTTCATGTGCCCGTGGCGGTCCAGCAGCAGATTGTCCGGCTTGATGTCCCTGGGGGGGGAGATGGGGGAGGAGGAGGGGAAAGGGTTCAGGGGGACCAGGTGAGGGTGTGTAAGGAGAGGAACGGGGAATTGGGAGGAGGGGAATGGTGGAGGAGGGGCAGAGGCGTTGAACAGCATGGCAGCGGCCTCCTCAACATCGACAGCGGGGAAGGTGCTGGTGTCAAGGGGCTTGCACAGCCCGAAGTCTGACAGCTTCATGTGCCCGTGGCGGTCCAGCAGCAGATTGTCCAGCTTGATGTCCCTGGAGGGGAGGGAGTGGGGCCGCGGGAAAAGGAGAATGGGAGGAGATGAGGAAGAGACAAGTCCGACAGCTTCATGTGCCCGTGGCGGTCCAGCAGCAGATTGTCCGGCTTGATGTCCCTGGAGGGGAGGGAGTGGGGGTGGGGGGAAGCAGGGGGGAAGGGGAAGGGGGAAGGGGGGAAGGGGGAACGGGGGGAGGGGGAGGGGGTGAAATTAGACAAAAGGGGGAGCATGGACAGCATGGCAGCGGCCTCCTCGACGTCGACGGCGGGGAAGGTGCTGGTGTCGAGGGGATTGCACAGCCCGAAGTCAGACAGCTTCATGTGCCCGTGGCGGTCCAGCAGCAGATTGTCCGGCTCGATGTCCCTGGGGAGAGGGGGGGGAGGGGGTGGGGGGAAGAGGACGGGAAGGAGGGGTTGGGAAATGGTAATGGGGGGAACGGGGATACAGAGATGAGAAAGTGAACCAGCTACCTGTGAAACCACCTACCTGTGCGCCACTTCTCCACCCACCTGTGCATGTAGTTGTGCTTGTGGATGCTCTCAATGGCCAGCACTGCCTCGCCCACGTAGAGCCGACTCAAAGCCCACCAGTGCACCTCTCTACAACCAGCCCACCTGTACGGCTGTATTCCATGCTAACACCCACCCACCTGTGCACGTAGTTGTGCTTGTGAATGCTCTCAATGGCCAGCACCGTCTCGCCCACTAGAAACCAACAGTCCCATCGTTACCCCACCACACTCACTGGTACCAACGTGGCTCATGCGTCCACTCACTCAACTGCAATCCAGGCCCGCCCACCTGTGTGCCATCTTCTATCACCCACCTGTGCTCGTGGATTCCTTTTCACCCACCCACCTGTGCACGTAGTTGTGCTTGTGGATGCTCTCAATGGCCAGCACTGTCTCGCCCACGTAGAACCTCGCCTCGTCCTCAGTGAGCGTGTCCTTGCGCATGAGCAGCGTCATCATGTCGCCGCCCGGCAGGTACTCCATCACCAGGTACAGAAACTCCTCGTCCTGGAACGAGCAGTACAGCTGCACGATGCACTTGCTCTCCACTTCCGCCAGGAGGTTTCTCTCTGCCTTCACGTGCTCCACCTGTTGATGGGGTAGAATGGGGGGGGAGCAGGGGGGGAAGAAATAAGAGGTTGGTTGCAGTTAGACAGAAACTATTCGTCCTGGAACGAGCAGTACAGCTACACGATGCACTTGCCTCCACCTCTGTCAGCAGATTGTGCTGGAGGGTTATGAAAGGGGTTTTGAAGAGGGTCGGAAAGGGGCTTATAAGAAGGTTCGAAAAGAGTAGGGAGGGCAAGGGAGGGTGAAAAAGAGGGATGCACATGGAAGAATGATGAGCATCACCCTGAAAGGAGCAGTAGAACTGCACAATGCACCCCATTTCCGCCTTCCCCCCCCAACCCCCACAGACACATACGCGCACACACACATACAGGAAATCACCTACGCGCGCACACACACACACACACACACACACATCTGGCCGCGCCGAAGCATCTCCGCCTTCTTGAGCTTCTTCATTACGCACACGCTGCCCGTCTTCTTCTCCCAAAAAAACACACATGCATGCATGCACGCACGCACACACACGCAGACACATGCATGCACGCACGCACACACACGCAGACACATGCATGCACGCACGCACACACACGCAGACACATGCATGCACGCACACATACACACACATCCACCCCTCCCTCTCCATCCCCCACCCACACACACCTGGCCGCGCCAAAGCATCGCTGCCTTCTTGAGCTTCTTCATGGCGTATACTCTGCCCGTCTCTGTCTCCCGACTCATGCATGCATGCAGAGACAGACACGCACACGCACACGCACACACACATCCACCCCTTTCCCCACCTTCCCCCTCGCACACATACCTGGCCGCGCCGAAGCATCTCTGCCTTCTTGAGCTTCTTCATGGCGTACACGCTGCCCGTCTTCTTCTCCCAACTCATGCATGCACATACACACGCACACACACATCCACCGCTTCCCCCCACCTTCCCTCTCACACACACCTGGCCGCGCCGAAGCATCTCTGCCTTCTTGAGCTTCTTCATGGCGTACACACTGCCCGTCTTCTTCTCCCGACAGATGCGCACCTGCAAGTGAGTGGGCGGCAGCGCAATGAGTGGGCGGCACATCCGTAAGTGGGCGGCACATCCGTAAGTGGGCGGCACATCCGTAAATGGGCGGCGGAGCAATTTGTGGGAGGCATGATGATGGCACGGGGACAGCACAGGGGCGGCATGGGAACAGATCAGGGAAATTGGGCTAGTAAACGAAACCACACTCCCCTCTCCCTCCCACTACCTTTACCCATCAACGCCTTTTCACCACGTACATCCACAAAGGCCCCTCGCCCAATTATAGTAAGAATCTTTAAGTCGTTGACACTCATCTTGTGACCCGTCCCTCCGTTCTCTCCCTTCCCCCACCTTGTACTCATCAACTCCTCCGCCTCATCCCCCGTACCTCCCCGAAGGCCCCTCGCCCAATAATAGTAAGCAGTTCGAAGTCGTCGACGCTCATCTTGTGGCGCTGCAGGCGGCGGAACTCCGTCTCGCGCCGCTCGAGCTCCTGCATGATGCGCTGCTGCTCCTCCTCCGGCACGTCCTCCTCCTCCAGCTTCCGCTCCAGCTCGTTCCGCCTGATACACGCAAAAGGCAGGTGACAAATTACGAGGGGAAGCAGGGGGGGGGGGGGGGGGGGGGGGGGGTGGAGGGGAAGAGGGGGGGTGAGGGAAATGGCGGATGGCGTCTGTCCGTCCGTCTCACGAGGCGTAAGGCAAGGGAGGGAATGGGTTAAGGGACGTGATGCATGGGGGACAGCATGTCTCCGTCTCGCGCCTCTCGAGCTCCTGCATGATGCGCTGCTGCTCCTCCTCCGGCACGTCCTCCTCCTCCAGCTTCCGCTCCAACTCGTTCCGCCTGCCACGAGCATAAGGCAGGGCAGGTGACCAATTTGGAGAGCGGAAGAGGCGGGGAGCGGGTGAAGGAGATGGCGGTTGGCGTCAGTGGGGTAAGGGAAGTTATACACGCAGGACGGCATCTTCCCGTCTTGACCTCTCCGGATCCTGCATGATGCGCTGCTCTGCTACGCCGTTAGGCCTTCTGCCGGATGAACGACACTCCTTCCCTTCCGCTAGTCACTCCTCTTCCAGCTTCCGCGCCAGTTCATCACACCAACTGAAGCGAAACCATGGTGTAACAGAAGGACTGAGTCCTATCGAGGACACGTGATACGCGGCGAGAGTGGCGGCGGAGCCAAACGCGCGATCATTCAATCCGTCCCCTGCCGATTCTTTAAAAACCCTATCGCATCTAACATAGATTTGCCAGCTTGCGAAACATAGCCGACCGACATTGGTGGTAGTCGCAAGTTGCTGCTGGTTCCATAGCAGCGTGATCGATTTTGGGATCTGCGTGCAGACTAGTAGTCAAACTCTTACTACCACACGGACTGGTTACGTTGAAGTGTAAGTTGAAGCAACTGCTCAGTCGCATCCCCGACTCGGTCGCTCACTATATCCGCGAATCGTTGTCGCGAAAAACGTGTAACAATGACACGAAAAAACGTGAACGAAGCAATGCCGCGAGAATGTTGACGCATTGACATGAAAACGATAGATCAACGAGAAAGGCGAGATGCGCTCGTTGCGCCTTATTTTGCGCATTCTCAAAATACGTCTTGAAGCATTCTCGTTCTTCGCCTGAAAATGATAGTTACGTTACTTGAAAAAGGCATTGCGGAAACAAATTATTCGAACCGGAACTGTACCTATCCTTGCGTTCTTGAATTGTCTTCATCTGGTTCCGGTAATGCTGCTCGATGTAGTTCTTCGCAGCAGCCACTTTCTGCTTAGTAATGTCCGACGCAGGATCCATTTCCTGCTCCGGAGGGTCCACTCCCTCCTCGTCCTCCCGGATCCGTCCAGGTCCAGGAGGCTTCGGCGCTCGCATGTTGAACCATCGACGGTTGTCCGCCATGGCTACAGTGCAGACCTAGCTGCAGAAGGAGCTGCAAAACCTTCTAATAAGAACTACCCCCACGCAGTGATACTTATTTTCTGAGATTGGTACCAGTCGAATGGGAGTAGAAGGACAAGCAGGAAAACTACGGACTTGTCCAGTTCTGACAACCAACCAACCAGCAGCAGTGACTTCACATGAGTTAGCAGGTAAAGAGTTATGACTTGGTGCGCAATTCGCGGATGCCCACCTTGAGATCTCCGTGATCAAATTTCGTTTTATTATAATGGTTCCGTGCGATTCTGTGCATTCTCTAACGGGAGGTTCTATCACGGCTTATAACCGCTACTCATCTATCGGAACCGTACATCAGTTCGTTCTTTCTCAACTGTCAGAGGAGTTCTCAAGGTTCGGTTTGGTAGAACCCTCGCGGACGTTAGGGCGGAGATGCTGGCGCGCGGAGCTCCGCGCTTCTGCCTAGACGGAAAGTGGACGGAACAGTCGAATGGGAAGACTGAGACAAGTCGGAGAAAGACGGTAAAAGTACGACAAGCAGCATTTGCTTCACCAAAGGCTTCGACGATTCGCCAAGCGACTGTAGGGACTTGACAGCTGGACTAGGTCACAAACATTGCCGTTTTGCAGAACGTCGAAATATCGTCCTTACTCTTTTTATCGGACTCGATGAAACTCTTTAAAATGAAGCTACACCAACTCATTTAGTTTCATAGGCTTCAACCTTGTTTCGTGAACTATTATTTTGCTGGGCAACTCCATACCAGCTCTATTCATCTGATGCATGCCATCATTTTTAAATGACACGACATAAAACTCAGATGGCGTTCACAGAAAGTTCCACCAAGCGAACTAGCCCCAAGAGGCCCAAAAGTGGGTCCAGCGTGGCAGTTTTGCAACTGACCACACCCACTCCACGTGCCATGCGAAGGTGGATACACACCTAGACGAGTTTGAGCGAAATTTCAAACCCAATCAGGGGCATGTAACCCCGTAGACTTCAAGATCGTTCATGACAGACTTTCGTGAAGCAACCCCAAACACATGCTTCACAAATATCTGTGCACTGTTGTTGAGCGCGGTTCGCTTTGGGGGAACTTCCTGTGAACGCCATCTCATACTATCGGTACCAAGTTCGCCCAGATAGAAGCTCAGGTCCGCTTCTAACTTGCCAGGGAAAAAATCATGTTGTGCTTGTAATGAAGTATTCTTTATAAGCGCATGGGCCAATTGAATTACCAAAATCAAAGCATATTTTATAGGCATCAAACTGTAGCCCACGCTACAGCTTCGCAACCGTACTGATTTTAGGGTATTTCAGTAATGAACAAACGCGCAAACCCGCCAGCGCAGCAGTGTATGAGCATCCATGTGCCAAGTGCTGCCTGGCAGTCCAATGAGGCGTGGAAGCAGAGCAGCAGCAGCAACTAGAGAGACCCCTCGATAGAATCCCTTGCAACCGCAGGTTCCTCGTCAATTAAATTTTCCCCCAACCTGCAAAGGAGCCCGAGCCGCCTTCACGACAGGGGTCTCTGGTCACAGTCACTCTCCACCTTCATTCTTTCGTTTTTGCTTAGAAAACTACCGGTTTCCCACTTTCTCTGCCATGGCGGACATCCCAGGCAACACCTTCCTGTTCGGGCGACCACCACCGAGGTAGACGCAACCCAACGGCTGGATAGATGTCGCTGGAGTCATCAGATGGCTGGATGAAGCAGTGAAGCTCTTCATCCAGCCATACTCCGGGCCCCATGCGTGCTTAGAGTGTCTCATCCTTGACTCTTATCGTGGGTACCTGACCCTAGAGGTCAGAAAGAAGTACGCGGAGATGGGTGTGGTGCCAGGCGTGATATGGAGCGGTTGCACGTGAAAGGTGCAACTGCTTGACGCCACCTTCAACAAGTCCTTCAAAGCAGTTGTGCGACAACAATTCCAGGATTGGCTTGACCGGGAGGGTGTCAAGTACCACATGGCAAAGGGTGAGAAAATCCCCTGATGCTTTACTCGTGTTGCTCCCAACCCTGACCCTCATCACATTCCATTTTGCTCACAAGGAACCTCAGTAAGGCCCCCTTCCCCCCTGAGGAGTCGCAGAAGTGGGATTCAAAGGCCCGGAAGGCCTTGCCAGCGTCCCTGATAAAAAAGACGTTTCTTACCTGCAGCATCGACATATGCCTTCAGCACAGGCGCAACGGCGAGGCTACATCCATCGATGTGACGGACGACGTGACTGCAGACGGCTTGTTCAGCACAACGCGACCGAGCCGGAGACCGACGGTGACGATGAGGTTGATGAAACCTGTGTCATGTATGAATAGAGTATTTTAAAAAATGGTTCATTCATCCCAATAGAGGTGCATGCACTGACAATAAGTTTGATAGAATTAACCCCGCGGTTATGAACAACACCTGCCTATAAGCGCACTAGTTTGGACATAAGCGTGTGCACCACATGAAAGGGTGCGCTTCTATTAGGGTGATCACGGTACTTGATGCAATTCTTAGTGTATGTTGAATCTCAAGACCTTCAATGAAGATAGGGATCTAACAGAATATATCGGAACACAACATACATCACAAGTGCGGTTTGGCAGATACACTGGAAATGATGGTCCTCAAACTCACTGTGCTGGTGGTGGAGGAGGTGGAGGTGGCGGCGGAGGAGGGGGTGGGGGTGGAGATGGAGGTGAGGGGGGTGGTGGAGATGGCTGTGAAGGAACAGATGAAGGGGGAGGTGGAGGTGAGGGGGGTGGTGGAGATGGTTGTGAAGGGACAGGTGAAGGGGGAGGAGGAGGAGGTGGAGGAGGAGGGCTAGGAAGGGCCGCTGGTGTCGGTGGTGGTGGCTTTGAGACAGAGGGTGGGGTTGTAGGGCGACAGCGAGGTGGTGGTGGTGATGGAGTGGCACAATGTTTTGGAGCAGGTGCAGGGACTGGAGCAGGGCCTGGTGCCGGCACAGGTGCAGGGATGGGAGCAGGGACGGGGGTAGGGCTGAGTGCAGGTCCGGGAGCAGGCACGGGGGCAGGGCTGGGAGCAGGCACGGGGGTGGGGCTGGGAGCAGGCACGGGCGCAGGGCTGGGGGCAGGCACGGGCGCAGGGCTGGGGGCAGGCACGGGCGCAGGGCTGGGGGCAGGCACGGGGGCAGGGCTGGGTGCAGGCACGGGGGCAGGACTGGGAGCAGGCACGGGGGCAGGGCTGGGAGCAGGCACAGGGGCAGGACTGGGTGCTGACTCTGGTGCCTGACTCACATTTCCAGCACATGAACCACTGGGTCCCTTGGGTCCCGTTTTGAACTCTATGCAGCGGCGCGCATCAGGATATGCCCTCTGGTTAGCATCTCCTGGATTGAGGTTCAGAACAGTGCCGTTCTCTGGAATAGCCGCAGATGTGAGCGCGAGGACTGCACAGATGTTCTCGAAGGCTGCGCGGGTGAAAGGGGCGTTGATGCCACGCATTCGCAGGGTTGGAGGGTTTCCGGTGATGTAAAACTGGTTGGAGGTGTAGGATTGGACGAACTGAGGAGAGATGCAGAAGAGTGTGTTGTCCCCGCTATTGGCAGATTCGAGCACGTTTCTGTACTTGTCTTCGATTGGAATTGCTGTCACTTGACCATCGGGGATGTCAGGAAGCCTGAGACATAGGGAATAATAGAAATAATGAGTTAGAGTAGACAGGACAGTGCAAAACACATTTCAGGTAGCAGGCTAAGATGCTTACTGGAAAATGGGAACAAAATGTCTGTGTCCTTTGAAGTAGAAGTCGCAATCTGCTAGCGGAGTGGCTGGGCATGCTGAAACGGGATTCTCCTGCAGCCTCCTCGATGCGTGCATGTTGGTTCGCGTCCGCAGACTAATTCCCATCCTCAAAGCGCTCGAATGTGCCGGCCATTGAAGTGTTGACACCAGCCAAAACAGAAAAACAATTGGCAACAAACTTGTCGTCATGATCACGCCTCTACTACCTCCACACATACGATTCTGCATACAAATCATATGCAGAAGAGGAAATCCTCTGAAAACACACAGTCGACGAAAGGAACAGACGAAACAGCAGCACAGGACCACCTAAAACAGCAGGCGAAACAGGAACAGTCGACGCACAGGACCACCTAAAACAGCAGCGCACCAAGCAACCTACTTGCAGATGCAAAAACTGCAAGTAGTCCAAGCAAGAACTGTGCGGAGTTGGTGGTGTTGAAAATGAATGTGCTGTTGAAATTGAATGTGAATTCTTGGGAGGCAAGCCGAGTCGGCTTCATCTGGAGCCGCATTCATTTTTTCCAAGGCTGGCTGTTCTGGTTTGAGTCCTCGCTGGAGTTTTGCCACCTCAGCAGCTCTGGCTGGTCCCCAGACAGAAATCCATGAACCGCCACGAAAGCTGTGAGTTAGGTGAGTGGAGTTTCAAACGAGACACGAGGTAACTGCCAGCTGTGTTGTTTCTATTGACAAGCTGGCTCCAGACGGGGTTTCGCGTGCGGGGAATTCTGTATCGCAATTTTTTCGCTTGAAAGTAACCATTTCGAGCACCTTCGGCAGGAAATAACGTTTAGCCGATTTTAGAGTCGTCGGTATACGACATAGTTCAGACATATTATATGGAGCTCATTTCTTTTCTGCGAATACGATCTCAAGGTTAAATCTAAACAGCAGCGAAGCTAGAGAATAATACGCAAGCAGTCACCCAAGAAGGATGTTAGTACGCCGAGCGCTCTTAGTTTCAGAAGTGTTTCTGCTTATTTCCAGATAGCGCCGTAAACGCCCTCCAACTCAACGGCTAGGATTGCCTGTTCATGGGCAGTGAAGGCGATCTGCGTTCCGACAGCAATCCCTCTTCTAGCAGTCACGTTCCGAACCCTAACGTAGAATCAATAGTTTCACCAATCACCACAGTAAGCGCAGTTGCTGCATCCACCACCACCATCACCGTCGCCGCTCGGCGCACCGGTTATCCTACCAGTAGCCGTGACGTGGCAGCCCCGGCTACGTTCGCCGGCGGTGCCGCCGAGCCATCATCGAAGCGCGCCAAGCTATCCTGTCCGTACCACGAGCACGGCTCTGCGGCGTCCGGCCGCGGTTCTGAATCGTGCGCGTTCTGCGCATCTGCCGCCGCGACTCCCGGGAAATCTTCTGACGATCACCCCGCCGGAGCTGCTGCCATCTGTCACGCCACAATTGGTCGATTTGCAACCCTGTCCATGGGGATGGGGCCAGGGGACGGTGCTGCGGATTCTGCAGGAGGGAAGCAAGTAGGGAGGACTTATCAGCCGTCCGATCGCGATCGGCTCGGATCCAAGGGCCAGATTCGCACGGTGGAGTTTATCCGCCTTATAGAGCAATCGCTGCGTTCGCTAGGGTATGATTCCATAGCGGCGCAACTGGAAGTGGAATCGGGCGTAGCTCTGGAATCCAAGCCTGTAGCGCAGCTTCGGCAAGCAATTATGGCTGGCCAATGGGAGGAAAGTGTCGCAATTCTGTCGAACCTACAAGGTTTGGATTTATCTTTGCTTCGGCACGCCGAATTCCTCCTTTTGGAACAGAAATTCCTCGAGCTTGTCGAAGCTGGGGAGGTTCGGGAAGCTCTGACGACCCTCCGAGGCAGGCTCGGGCCCACAGCTTCGGATCCGAAGCGGTTGCACCAATTGGCGGGCTGGCTCCTGTGCGCCGGACCTGAGGACCTCAAGGCTCGGTCCGGTTGGCCCGGGACAGGTTCGGAATCACGGGGTTCGGTTTTGAAAGCGGTACAGGCTTTGCTGCCGGCGTCAGTGATGGTTCCTGATCGGAGATTGGAACAGCTTGTAGAGAGTACGGTTGAGATGGGTCGAGAGCGGTGCCACTACCACAACGTGGCTGACGAGGCGCTGACACTGTTCACGGACCATTCGTGCGGGCGGGAAATGATTCCAACGGTTACCACTCAGGTACGGGGTGTAATCAACGTTACCACTAAGGTAGGGGTGTAATCAGTGTCGCCACTAAGGTGAGGGCTACCATTGAGGTGGGGATGTGATCAGTGTTACCACGGAGTAGGGAGTGTAATCTTCCAGTGTTACCAACCCAGGTGGAGGAGTGACGTGACCACATCGTCTCACCATTTTTCCTTTCTCAACCCGCTCACCGTCTGCTCACATTGTTGCTGTCTCAGGTGCTCCCCCTTCCACTCGGCAGATGTTGCAGGGTGTTTTTGAGATTTCTCAAAAACAGGTCTTTCAAGACGGCAGTCCACTTAATGCAACCCTCCTGAACCCTCCCTACCTCCCCCCCTCTCTCAGGTGCTGGAGCAGCACAACGACGAGTTATGGTGTGTGCAGTTCCTTTCAGCTCACCCTCTTTACCATCTCTCTGCACCTCTCTCTCACTTCCTCCATCTCTCTTCTGCTCGCGCGCCCCCTCTCCCTCTTCCCCTCGGCAGCTCTTGGAGCAGCGCTGCAGCACAACGATGAGGTGTGGTACGTGCAGCTCTCTCACGACGGCACGGCACTCCCCCCCCAACCCTTCTCTCTTCTTCTACTCACACAAATTCTTCCCCACCTCTTCCCACCAGGTACTGGAGCAGCACAGCGATGAGGTGTGGTGCGTGCAGTTCTCTCACGAGGGCACCAGGCTCGCCACTGCCTCCAAGGACCACACTGCTGTAGTCTGGCAGGTGAGGTTCGCCTCCCTACCACACTGAACCGCACTGAATCACACCCTGCCACATTGATCGCACAGTGGCTTTCAAGATTGATTTCTTCCATCTTCCATTGTGGCACCAGGCTTGCCACTGCCTCCAAGGACCACGCTGCTGTCGTCTGGCAGGTGAGAGTTGCCTCTCTACCGTTTCCCAGCGCACTGAATCTCACCACTGAGGCTCTTAAGATCGCCTCCCCCCATCTTCCATTGTGGCACCAGGCTTGCCACTGCCTCCAAGGACCACACTGCTGTCGTCTGGCAGGTGAGGCTTGCTTCTTTACCTAACTGCACTGCAGCACACAGAATTGCACTCAAAGACACTGACTTGCTCTTAAACTCCCCCATCTCACACGACAGCACCAGGCTGGCTTGCCACTGCCTTGAAGGACCACACACACCGCTGTGTATGGCAATTGAGGCACTGCTGTACACGCTATCAGCCACTCCCTGCCGCTCTCCTACGTGGCGTGGAGTCCAGACGAATCACCGCTGCTCACAGCCGGCAATGACCTAAACCCCTCTCTCCACTCTCCACCCTCCACCCTCCACCCTCCACTCTACATCCTCCACCCTCCCTACCCTCGCTCCGTTTCCTGACTCAGGTTCTAGACAGTTTCTCCCACCTTCACCTGGACACCCTCTCAGGCCATTCCTTCCCTCTCTCCTACGTCAGTCCAGACACGACTCACTGCTGCTCACAGCCGGCAACGACCCCTCCTTCCCCTTTCCCTTTCCGTCCACACCCCATCCCTTTTCCAACCCTTCACACCCCATCCCGCCCCACCTTCTTCAGATTCTAGACAGCTTCTCCCACTGCCACCTGCGCACCCTATCAGGTCACTCGCACCCGCTCTCCTATGTACTGTGGAGCCCAGACGACTCGCTGCCGGCAACGATCAACCCCTTCCCTCTCTCGCCCCCACCCCCCGCTTCCCTTGTCAGATCGATGACAGCTTCTCCCACCGTCGCCTGCACACCCTATCCGGCCATTCCCTCCCGCTCTCCTACGTGGCGTGGAGCCCAGATGACTCGCTGCTGCTCACAGCTGGCAACGACCCCTTTGTGTGCCTCTGGGATGCCACCACTGGCCGCCTGCTCCGCTCCTTCTCCAAACACCACGATGTGAGTTGTTGGTAACGTGCCTAGGACTGTGAGGTTGCCAGACCCCTCTTGCTGCTGCTCACTCCACCACACCTTTTAACTCTCATCTCGCCCCCCTCGTTTCGGTCACCCTTCATTCGTCCATCCCTCTCACAGGCCATTTCTGCCTGTGCGTGGTTTCCCTGCGGGCGGCGGTTCTTGTCAGCATCTGCGGCGACGGATCGCACAGTGTGTGTGTGGGACGTGGAGGGGGTCGAGCTGCCCTCGTGGGGAGGGGTGGGGCGGCACCTGTGGCAGCAGGATGGGGGCGATTTTCCTCGCATCAACGACCTTGCTGTCAGCTCCGACTGCTCCCATGTGGTGAGAGGACTCCCACCACATTCCACCGCACCCCACCACACTCCACTGCACTCCACCACCACCACACTCCACCACACTCCACTCCTGTCCCACCACACTCCACTGCACTCCACTGGAATGGGGTGGGGCGGCACCTGTGGCAGCAGGATGGACGAATCAACGACCTTGCTATCAGCTCCGACTGCTCCTGTGTGGTGTGTGCGGGCATGCATGCATGCATGCGTGCGTGCTCGGGGCCGCGCTCTTGGGTCTGTCTGTGCATGCGTCTGCTTGTTCTTTTATGTCTGTGTGTTTCTGTGCGTGTGTATGTGTGCATCTCTTTGCTACCCTCTGCCACTCGGCCATTTTCTTGGCTTGGCCTTTCTTGACTGCCATAGGTGCTCCTCTCTCCTCCTTCTCCTCCGGGTGTCGGTGTGCAATGAGAAGGAGATTCGGGTGCACGAGCTTCCCTCATTAACTACTTCTCACTCCATCCCTCCCTGCTTTCTCCTTTCTCCTCCCTGCGTTTCATACCCTCTTTCCTCCCCCCACTCCAGGTGTCAGTGTGCAATGAGAAGGAGATTCGGGTGCACGAGCTTCCCTCGGGAAAAGAGCATGTGGTGAAAGAGACCAAGTCAATCACGTCGCTCAGCATGTCTGTGGACGGCAGGTGGGCGATGGGGTTGAGTAGAAGGTGGTTTTTCCAAACAGGTGCGTGTCTGGGATGGTTGGAGGGCTGGGATTGAAACGCCTTGTCCAAATATCACGTGGTGAAGGAGGGACCAGGTCAATCACGCCGCTCAGCATGTCTACTGACGGCAGGCGAACGGTGGGGGTGAGTGGAAGGTGACTTAGGGTACCTCTGAGAACCCCAAAATAACCCTAAGAGGTGACTTAAATTACCTCTGAGAACCCCAAAATAACCCTAAGAGGTGAATTAGGGTACCTCTGAGAACCCCAAAAGAACCAGATGGATGTTGGTGAACCTATCTTAAGGAGACATCCTTCTCCTAACCCTTACCACCTCCCCCCATGCTCCATGTTTCCAATGACTCCCCATCCCCGTCCCCGCCTCCCCCCCTCCTCTTCTTTCCTCCCATTCACATACAACCAGGCAGGTGTTGCTGAATCTATCACCGGGCAACATCCATCTCTGGTTCATTCAGGACATATATGCTGCTAAGCCTCCTCACAGCCGGTGCCTCATGCTTTCACCCCCGCTCTGTATCCCCCGCTCTCTATCCCCCACACTCTATCCCCCACACTCTATCCCCCACACTCTATCCCCCACTCTATATCCCCCAGTCTCTTACCAACCAACCAGGTGGGTGTTGGTGAATCTATCATCAGGCAACATCCATCTCTGGTGCATTCAGGACATATGTGCTGCCAAGCCTCCTCACAGCAAGTGCCCCAATTCTTTCACTGTCCTTCCCCCCCTCTCTCTCCCCCAACCAACCAGATGGGTGTTGGTGAATCTATCATCGGGCGACATTCATCTCTGGTGCATTCAGGACATATGTGCTGCCAAGCCTTCTCACGTCAAGTGCCCCAATGCTTTCACTGTCCTTTTGCACCACTCTCTCCCCCCCACTTTCTCCCCGAAACAACCAGGTGGGTGTTGGTGAACCTATCATCAGGCGACATCCATCTCTGGTGCATTCAGGACATCTGTGCTGCCAAGCCTCCTGACAAGCCAGCTTTTTCGTACAGCGGGCAGGTGAGAAATAGTGGTCGGGCAGCAGAAGGGGTTGTATCTGCAGGTTGTAGAGCTGTCAGGATTAACCTTTGAAACCACCCAACGATATACACATGCGCATTTCACACGATGCAGTTTGTATGTTAGGCTTTTTTTGTTCCTGCAAGTATGCACACCCTATGCTCAGTCGTCCTATTTGTTTGAGCCATTTATCGTTCATTATGGCAACGCTTCCTTGCCTTGTGGTTCATTCACTTGATTCCTCCCAGGTGCAAGGCCGCTTTGTGATTCGCTCCTGCTTTGGAGGCCATGATCAGCGCTTCATCATAAGTGGCAGTGAAGATGCTCAAGTAAGTGACAACGTTTAAGTAAGCAATAAGGTGAACAATCAATCTCCTAGCCATGCCACAGGTACACACTTTACCCTCCCTCCCCCCCACCCAGTACCTCGCTGGCTTTGGGGTAAAAAAGACTTTTATCTCCCTTTCCCCCTTTTTTGTATGGTGGTTTACACTGTTTACACCATGGTTGTGCCATATGCAGGTGTACATGTGGCATCGCGACACTGGCGAGGTTATGGAGGTGCTTCCGGGGCACTCCGGGACAGTAAACGCCGTCTCTTGGCCGACCACCCGGCCACACATGTTTGCTACAGCCTCGGATGATGGCACTGTGCGCATTTGGGGGCTACCCTCTCTTGTTGCTGGAGGTCTGGGAATGGAAGTGGGAGGTTCGGATGGTGGTATGGGTATGAATGTTGAGACGGATAGGGAGGATGGTGGGGGGAGTGCGATGTTGGGAACGGAGTGATGAAGGTTTCTAAACCCTGGTGTTTTTAGGAAAGCAGCATTCAAACTGGTTCCCAGGAGGGTTGAGGTATGTGCCCCTTTTGTATATAATGAATCAAATGTAAGATATGGACCTAAAAAGAGGCTGTATATGATAGATCTCTGTATTATCTTGTTGCAGTGAGCAATAGTATAGAGCTGTAGAGAAGATTTAAGGTATTGTTTCCCTGTATGTTATACACAATGTTTATGTAGGATGTAGATCGATGACCGTGGCTACAGTGCGGCGGAGGTTCGACATTGGACCCTCCACGAGGCTCCGTTTTCCGTTCAGGTTTGGCCGAAGACAAGGCAGTGAGGGGCAAAGCAGGATTTTGAATCATTGCGAAGCAAACTGTTGGTCAGGCGAACCCATACAGTACAAAAGGACAATGCGGTTTGGATGTTGGAGGGAAGAATCGCGCGAGAACAACCGACGCCGCCAGTCACTGGGCCACTGGCCAAGGCCAGCTTCGGAAATCGAAATTCTAGGGTTGTGAATATCCTAGGACGCGTCACCTAGCTCGATCGATCCTGCGTAGGATCGATGTTTGGCATGCTACAGTCAAACGGTAGCGTCGCAGTTTACACGGATACCCTATTTCGAGACATTTAACGAATGTACAGTAACGGGTGCACCACGATCTTGTCACCTCCCCCCAATCGCGATTGTTGCATCATCATACACACACCGATTTTGCGTGAGCTCCAAGCTCGCGCTCAAAGTGACAGGCAAAATCGATCGCCGTCGCACAGTTTGCAGGGTTACCTGGATAGTCTCATGTTGTTTATCGCAAACCATCCATACGACGGTGCTGCATACTTTCGCCCAACCATGTCCCTTGGCGCAATACCGAACGCGTCACCCAGGGCTCGAAACCAACCTGCGATCGATGTTCAGCTGTCACCTCCCACCAATCGTGCCCCAAACTTGCGATCAGTGTGCCCGATCGGTTTTTCCTGGTGATCCTGCGATCGATCGAGGGAGGTGACGCGTCCTTACATTTTTCTAGGGACTGGAGTTCTTGCCTTGCCATAACTAATGGAACGGTGACTTCTAGAAGCTGGTGGTCCAGGAGGTATCGATAATTAAGAGTTTAGGTTTCCCACAGTTGACGGTTTGGTCCTCACACTCTTTAGGTCGTCGTGGTCAAGTAGGTGCAAGGGATACGTTCTGTGTGTTCGCTTCTAGTACTAAAGCGCCACTATATATCCCTAATCGCTCCACTCCGTGACGGAGCGCCACTAGTGTCGACGCTATTTATGTCCGAATGTACCGCATTGCTCTTCTTAGAAAAACCCCTGTTCTGGTCCGACTGGTGCTAATTTTTTTAATATTATTTCGAGTTTTGGTCCCACTTTGCAAGCCTCGCAGCACGTTTAGATAATCAACCTGTCGAACCGCAGTAACTTTCGAGTTGGCTAGAAAGTATTTATGATTTTGCATCTGGTTGATTTAGTCAGACTTTGCACGCCTGGGAACACCATTGAATAATGGACCTGTCGAACCGCCGTATCACGCGAAGCATCTCCACCGAGCTCCAGGCTCGCGCCATGGCTGTTGGTAACTGTGGAGCCGTCAATAACGGTGAGAGTGCTCGATCAGCGTGCGTTAGTTAGTACCCACTGAGTTTCCTTTACTAATTCGTTCTGGTCCTTGTTAGGGTTCTTTCGCTTTCTTACTTATTGTGCTTGTGCATTTAGAACGACATTGAGAGCGTCAATGCCGCGAACTTCAATTCAATCATTCTAACATTCTCCCCATTACTGCATACACATGTTGCTCAACTGCTGCGCGCGAATTTGCCCTGCACGCGCCAGAAAGTCTGCACCCGTGTATTTTGCGCCAGCCAGTTGCACTGACTATGAACCAATATTAACCACAGAAACCAAAGTCAAACTGAAGAGACCGAAGTAAAAAAGTCAACGAGAAGTTACAATCTCTTTATTAGCCCTTTTTTGCTAGGTGCGACGTTGACGAAATTTGCGAAATGCTGAAAATCACTTAAAGGCCCCCTTCACAAGGCAACCTTGGGTTAGTCAAACGAGCATCATCTGTACTCCCATTCCATTCAGCCTCAGGAGATCCTTCGACCTCCATGTCCCCTGAAGACCTCTTCGTCCGCTCTTTCCTAGACAGCACCGCGGCTGCTGGTTTCGCTGCTGATGGCGGTGCTGCTTCCGCTGCTGATTCTGCCGCTGGCACTGGTGCTGCTGGTGCCGCTGCTGCTTCCCCTGCTGATTCTGCCGCTGGCACTGGTGCTGCTGGTGGCCTTAGCAGCGCAGACGGCTCTTCCCCGTTAAGCTTTGGGACTGGAGAGCAAGGGCGTGCGGGGCTGGGAACCCAGGGGGGAACCGGGACGGGGGAAACCGAAGGGGGGGCAGAAGGGAAGGGGGTTGCGGGCATGGGTTCGCCCTTGCCCTTTCCGGCTATAAACGTATGGGGAGCAGCAGCAGGACGAGGAGCAGGAACTGCAGCGGCAGGCACGGTAGGAGGAGCAGGCATGGGAGGAAGAGCAGGGCTGTCAGTTGCAGCGGTGTACCCTTCACCAAAGCTCAGCCGCCTCAACAGCGAGGAGCTCTTCCAGAGCTGGCTATCCACTGATGTAAGTTGCTGCTAGAATCTGCTAGTCGATTTTTGAGTCGGCCGAAAAAACGGCTTATTACACAGCGAGGAGCTCTTCCAGAGATGGCTATCCGCTGATGTAAGTCTCTGCAAGAAACTACTGGTCCTGAAAAACCCCTTTTTTGTCTTCTTCAAAGTCGTGAAATGTGTATTTTAAAAAGTTTTTATACTACTGATACATAGGTTTTTATTGAGGCCCAGCAGCAGCAGCAGCATCAAATGTATGTATTTCCATTTCTTCTTCCCATTGTCCCGCAGATAGCCAACTCCCCAATACAAGCCCTGCCGCCTCGTCCTTTTCCTCCAGTGAACCTCCCCCGTCCCACCTCTCGGCAGCAGTTGCAGCAACGGCTGCTGCCAGAACAGCAACAGCAGGGACAGGGGCAGCAGCAGCAGGGGCAGCAATACCAAGGGCAGGGGCAAGGGAGTGATGGTCCAGTCACCGACGCCAATGAGTCGTTTCTCTTTGCCATGCCGTCAGTGAGTGGGTTTGACGTGGCCCGGGGTGTAGGGTCAGGGTCGCTGCAGCAGCAACAACAGCCACAACAGCCACAACAGCCACAACAGCCGCAACAGCCGCAACAGCCGCAACAGCCACAACAGCCACAACAGCCGCAGCAGCCGCAGCAGCAGCAGCAGCAGCAGCAGCAGCAGCAGCAGCAGCAGCAGCAGCAGCAGCAGCAGCAGCAGCAGCAGCAGCAGCAGCAGCAGCAGCAGCAGCAGCAGCAGCAGCAGCAGCAGCAGCAGCAGCAGCAGCAGCAGCAATGGCAGCAATCAACACAGTTCACACCTTCCCAGCAGCAGATGAGGCCTCCCCAACAGCAAGAAACACCTCCTCAACAGCGCAGGTGCAATGACTTTGCCTTGATTAAACGCTCTTCACTGGGCAACGGTCGTCTTCCTACTCTCCCTCCGTTCCTCCCTCCATACCTCCACATTCAGCCCCCTTTTGCCCTCTCCTGGCTGCAAATCCCCCTCGTCCTCCCCCACTCCCCCCCCGCCTCCTTCCCCCGCTCATCCCCTCCCCCTTCCCCCCCTTTCCTCTCTTCCCTCTCACGCACACGTGCACAAGCAGCACTGCACTTCTTCTCGGTGCATCTGTCCCGTGTGATCTCTGCTGTATCCCACCCACAGAACGCAGCTAGGCATGGGCTTCATAGAAATTGAGAACTCATGAAAACACTCTCTTCGTGCACCCGCTCTGGTGTACTTTTTGTTGATTCTTAACTGCAGAATGGGGCTAAGCACGCCACAGCAGCAGCAGCAGCAGCAACAGCCGCAGCAGCAACAACAACAGCAGCAGCAACAGCAGCAGCACCACCAGCAGCAGCAGCACCAGCAGCAGCACCACCAGCAGCAGCAGCAACAGCAGCAGCAGCAGCAGCAACAGTCGCCCAACTATTCTGTATGGCCTACCTACCTACCTCCTGTGAGAGCTATGTACTTGTTTCCATGCAAGCCCTGTCCATGTTGCGCCCATCTCACTCTTGTGCGTTCTAGAGTGTGAAGCAGCCAGCGTGGGCAAGAGTGTGTTGCACTGCACTCCACTGCACTTCACTGCACTCCACTGCACTTCACTGCACTCCACTGCACTTCACTGCACTCCACTGCACTCCACTGCACTTCACTGCACTCCACTGCACTTCACTGCACTCCACTGCACTTCACTGCACTCCACGGCACTTCACTGCACTGCACTCCACTGCACTTCACTGCACTCCACTGCACTCCACTGCACTCCACTGCACTTCACTGCACTCCACTGCACTCCACTGCACTCCACTGCACTCCACTGCACGCCACTGCACTCCACTGCACTGCACTCCACTGCACTGCGCTCCACTGCACTCTACTGCACTCCGCTGCACTCCACTGCAGAATGCACTTTCTCATGAGCATCTCTGCTATATATAGCTGAAGACTGTGTGTCAAATTCCGCTCGTTTGTCCCTCTCTGTCTCTATCAGGCTGCAGGGGCTGTTGCGGCTCAAGGCACCCATCACAAGGGGCAACTTCTGAGGCGCCTAAAGAATTTGCTCGTTTGCCTCTCTCTATCTCTGTTTGGTTGCAGGGGCTGTTGCGGCTCAAGGCACCCATCACAAGGAGCAAGTCACAAGAGATCCAGTAAGTGCTGGGACTGAAGTGCCTGGACTCAGCAGGTAAGTGACAGGACTTTGGTAGGTCCCATGACTTAGGCAAGTGCCAGGACTGAGGTTTTGCCAGGTCTGGTCTGGATTGTGCCAGGCTGGGGGGGGGGGTGGTCTCGCTCGCGTCCTCTGAGTAACCACTACTTTAAACCCTAGTTCTAAACCCCGAACTACAACAACTCTCCACTCCCGAAGCAGCTGGTGCCTCTAGAACCCTCCCTCCCTGCTCCCCTACCCACAACTGCAACAACACAGGCGGCTGGTGGGCGTATTTTCGAGTCGACTAAAAAATAATCCTCCCTCCCTGCGCCCCTATCCACAACCACAGCAAAACAGCAGGCTGGTGAGCGCCCAAGGCGTGGCGCTATCCACAGACGAGCTGCTACAGCACTCACTCAAGCTCACTAACACCCCAAATCCCTAACCCGAAACCCCTCCATTGCCACAGGCGGCTCATGAACGCCCAGGGCGTGCCTTTCTCCACGGACGAGCTGCTGCTGCTGCTGCTGCTGCTGCTGCTGCTGCCTTGAGTCAGGCTAGTCAACAGCCTAAACCCTCCCTCCCTTCACCCGTACCGCCCCATCACAGGCGGCTGGTTAATGCTCAGGGCGTGCCGCTCTCGACAGACGAGCTGCTGCAGCGACTGGCGTCCCCCTCGGACCTGCAGGCCACCATCGCCGCCCTGCAGGGGCCGCTGGGCCACGTTGACCTCGCTGCCCTCTCCTCCTCCGCTGCTGCCCTCGCTGCTGCTATCCTCGGGAACCTTCAGATACCTCTTCCTCCTCCTGCTGCTGCTGCTGCTGCCACGAGTGGTGCTGGTAATCCCACTGCTGCTGCTGCTGCTGCCAGTCCTGGTGGTAATGGCTTCGTTGCTCCCGTTGCTGCTCCTGGTGCTCCTGGTGTGAGTGCTGGACTGGGATCAGCAGCAGGCAGGCTCGGGGGGACTCCCCCTATGCCTCCCATTCCGCCTTCCCCTGGAGGCAGGAGGACTGGCGCAGGGGGAGTGGGGAGAGGAGTGGGGGCAAGTGGAGTGATGTTTAGTGGAGTGAGGACAAGGCAGATGGCACGGGGAGGGCCTGTGCATCAACAAGCGGGGTTGAACCCTGGGGTAGGAGACCAGCTGCAGGGGGGGCAGCAGGGGCAGCAGCAGGGTGAGCAGCAGGGACAGCAACAGGGGCAGCAGCAGGGGCAGCAGCAGGGGCAGCAGCAGGGGCAGAAGAAGAGTAGTGCATCGTCGTTGGTTCATCGACTGCAGAACAAACTGGGTGCTAAAAACAGGAGAAATCAGAGTGCGCAGCAGCAGGCGCAGCAACAACAGCAGGGGCAGCAGGGAGAGGCGCAGCAGCTACAGCAGGGGCAGGTGCAGCAGCAAAGGCAGGGGCAGCAGGGACAGCAGGGGCAGGTGCAGCAGCAAAAGCAGGGGCTAGGGCGGGCACAGCAGCAGGGGCAGGCACAGCAGCAGGGGCAGGCACAGCAGCAGGGGCAGGCACAGCAGCAGGGGCAACCGCAGCAACAGCAGCAGGGGCAACCTCAACAACAGCAGCAGGGGCAACCTCAACAATTGCAGCAGGAGCAGCAGCAGCAGCAGCAACAGCAGGAACAACAACAGCGGCAGAAGGAGCAACAGAGGCAAGTACTGCTGCAGGTGAGGCAGCAACAAGAGGGGCCACCGGTACTAGCTCAAGAACAATCAGCAGCAACACCTGAGGGGCACAATCAGCACGAATTTCCGAAGCAGCAGCAGCAGGGGCAGGGGCAGGGGCAGGGGCAGGGGCAGGGGCAGGGGCAGGGGCAGGGGCAGGGGCAGGGGCAGGGGCAGGGGCAGGGGCAGGGGCAGGGGCAGGGGCAGGGGCAGGGGCAGGGGCAGGAACAGGAGCGGTACCATTCCCAGGCAAACACCCATTCCCAACCCTCCCCATCAGCCCTGGCAAGCCCTTCCGCCTTCCCAACCTCAGGCTCAGCAAATCCTGCTGCTTACCCAGCCTCAGGCTCGGAAGGGTCTCATCCTGCTGCAAGCGCAGGCGCGGTCGGTCCTCCCATGCTTAACTCGGGTTCGGTTGGGAGCGGCAATATGGAAGGCAAAGTGAATGGGAGTGTGATGGCTGCTATGGCGCCTGGAGGAAGAAACGTGTCGTCAGTGGTCAGCCTGCTTAAAGGGTACGTTTCCGTCCTCCTCCTTCTACGCTCTGTACTTTGTGTGTGTGTGTGTTTGTGTGTGTGTGTGTGTGTGTGTGTGTGTGTTTTTCTTGACCTCGTCTCCTCTTCTCCCTGCATCTGTACCCATTCCCCTTCGTCCACTACCACCCTACCCTCTTCCCTGTTCCCCTTAATCCCCTTCCACAGCACCTTAGCGCGCAAACAAGGCTCCATGGGAAAGAAAGTAGCTCAAAGCCCCACCAGCAGCACCACCCCCCACTCCACCCCTCTCTCCCCCTCCTCAGCCTCCCCCACCCCCACTCCCTCCCATTCCGATGCTCCCTTCCACCATCCCCATCTGCACCAACCGCACATCACCCATTCCCACCGCGCGTCCCACTCCAACCCTCCTCCCGGTGTTGCCGCTGCCGCTGCCGCTGCTGTTGCTGCAGCAGCCGCTGCTGGTGGTGGTGGTGGTAGGCTGCCTGTCCTTGGTCGTTCCGCCAGTGGTGGTACACAAGGGTATATCGGCTCTGCTGCTTCCGCAGCTGATGCTGCAGCTGCCGCTGCTGCTGATGGCAGGTTTCCTGCTCTTGGTCGGTCCTTCAGTGGTGGGGGTGCACAAGGGTATAACTGTTCGCCTGCTGCACATGATAATGCTCCTTCTCCTGCTGCTGCTGGTCGTAGCAATAGTGCTGCACTTGCTGCTGCTGCCGCTGCTGCTTCTGGTGCCACTGGCACGGCTGTTTCGGGTGCTCCGGAAGCTACGGCAGATCTGCAGTCACCCGGAGGTTCGGCATCAGGTCCGGCATCAGGTCCGTGCACCTCGGAAGGCACTGTGGCCTCTCACCCTGTAAAAATAAGCCAATCAGCATCTCGCCCCGGCACTCCAACCAACTTGCAAACAGGTCTACCTGGTTCCGGCCCTACTACTCCCACCATAGGGGGAGGTGGTGGTATACCTGGGTCAGGCTCGGTTGGTAGTTTTCCCAAAGTGGTTGGGTCCGGTGCAAAGGAGCAGGGATCTGCTCCTGGCACTCCTATCTTTGGGGCGGCGGGGTCAAGTTTTGAGATGGAGAAGGAGCAGCAGGAGCAGTATCAGGTGGTGGGAGCACAGCAGGTGCAGGAGCAGCAGCCGCAACAGCAACAGCAACAGCAACAGGAGCAGCAGCAACAGCAATGGCAGCAGGAGCAGGAGATGCAGGTGCGAAGGCAGCAGCATAACGAGAAGCAGCAGCAGCAGTGGCAGCAGCAACTACAGCACCAGCAACAACAGCAGCAGCAACAACAAATACAGCAGCAGCAGAAGCAGCAGCAGCAGCAGCAGCAGCAGCAGCAGCAGCAGCAGCAGCAGCAGCAGCAGCAGCAGCAGCAGCAGCAGCAGCAGAAACAGCTGCATTCCACTTCCAACAACAGCACTCTTCCCCATCCCTCAGGCGTTAGAAACAGACTGCACAACCGATCACTCAGGGTCCAAGTCCCCGCCTCCATTCCCCCCTCTTTCCTCCACCCCACCCCAGCTTTAGCCTCCCCAGGTGCACCTTCCCCAGGTGCACCTTCCCCCACTGCAGCAGGTGTACCTTCTCCAGATAGCCCTCTCGCCTCCCCCAGTCTACTCGTCACTCCTGCCAGCCTGTCTCCCTTGGGGGAGGCTCGGCTGCTAAATTCCGGGATTGGATTCGAGGCGAGTCAGAGTCTGAATGGAGGATGCACAGGAGCAGGGGGCGTGGGAAGTGGTAGTGGTGCCTCTGCTGCTGCTGCTGCTGCTGGTGTTTCTGGGGGTGCTGCTGCTGCATTAGCAGGGGTGAAGAGAAGCGCTAGTGCCATGTCTTCTGACAGTCCCACAGCAGCACAGCAGCAGCTACAGCAGGCGCGGAGGGGTGGGTCTGGCCCTTTGGACCACTACCCCTGTGACGGGCCGTCCCTCGCTAGAACCGGCTCTCTCACTCCCTCTGGCGCTTTTGAGTCGACTCAAAAGCAGCAGGCGAGGAGGGGTGGGTCTGGCCCGTTGGACCACTACCCCTGTGACGGCAGGCCGTCCCTCGCTAGAACCGGCTCCCTCACTCCCTCTGGCGCCCACACCCCCTCGGCCTGCCTCACTCCCACTGTGCCCCAGTCTCCGTTTGGCGACTCCTCACGGCAACACAGAGTGGAGCGACAACGCAAGTAAGTCCCCCGGATGCAGAGTGAAAAATGCCCTTATGCTTCGTTGTTGCCCGACTGGACTTTTTGTGTTTTGAGTCGACTCTAAACAAGGAAGTCCCCCTTGAGGTAGGGTGTAGAATGCCCTTATGCTTCTTGGTGGCCCGGACCGGACATTTTGTATTTTGAGTCGACTCAAAACAACTCCTCCGTGAGGCAGAGTGTGACATGCCCTTGTGCTTCGAGTTAAGTAGGTTCTTTGTGGCCGGGACTTTCATGCTCTCATCCCTTGTTTGTGCTCCTCTTCTTGCCATGTCCACACAGAATGGCGGAGGCCAAGGGGCGCACGGGGGGTGCTGCAGGTGCCGGGTTGGCATCGCCAGATGTGGCCAGCTTGAAGCGCAAGTGTGAGACTCTTGAAACGGAGAACCGGAGCCTCAAGACGTTCCAGAGCTTCATGAACAGGTGAGAAAGAGGAGCTCTGCTGTGCGGTGCCGTGCGGTCCTGTGCTTTGTTAGAGAGTCGGAAGTGATTTCAACATAGTTGGATTGGAAGTGGCTGACCTCTAGCGCAAGTGTGAGACACTTGAAACGGGGAATCGCAGCCTCAAGTCGTTCCAGAGCTCCATGAACCGGTGAGAGATAGTGTGGAATCCAGTGCGGTGCTGAACGGTTAAGGAGTGCGGCTGTGGAGTTCATTGTGGTGCTGTGTCATAGCTTCGCAAATTTTATTTAATGGCAATACCTCAACTTTGTTCCCTTCTTTCCTTCCTCTTCTTTTTGCTTCTTCCTAAACGTGCCCACCTATCACCCTTCTTCTTTGCGCTGTCCCTGTGGCCGTCACAGGAAGGACTCAGAGCAAACAACGCGGATAGAGCAGCTGGAGCAGGAGAACGCCCAGCTGCGAGCAGAGAACGAGAGGCTCAGGGAGGAGCTTGCTGCTGCTCGACAGACAGGAATGGCCATACCAAGCCTGCCCACCATGCACGCTGCTGGGATGGCGCAGCCATGACATGGATGTGGGCGCACACGATAAAGCAGCTGGAGCAGGAAAAGGCTGAGCTGAGAGCAGAAAACGAGAGGCTCAGGGAGGAGCTAGCTGCTGCTCGACAGACAGGAATGGCTTTAACCAGCTTGCCCACTATGCACGCTGCTGGGATGGCACAGCCATGACATGGATGAGGCATCTCAGCAGGAAAAGGCTGAGCTGAGAGCAGAAAACGAGAGGCTTATGGAGGAGCTTGATGCTGCTCGGCAGACAGGAATGGGCATAACCGGCTTGCCCACCATGCATGCTGCTGGGATGGCGCAGCCATGACATGAATGCCGCTGCTGCCGCTGCCGCTGCTGCTGCTGTTTCCTCTGCTCAACAGACAGGCATGGCCAGATCCAGCATGCCCGCCATGGCCCACGCATGCTGCTGGGATGGCACACATGACATGAAGTAATCGCCTCATAGGAAGGTCATGGATGGAGCAGCTGGAGCAGGAGAATGCCCAGCTGAGGCAGAGCATGAGGCTTAGGAATGACCACAAGCAGCATGCATACCAAAGGGAAGCACAGCGTCCATGCCCCATGGGTGGCACAGCCATGATATGAGCTTACATGTTTATCCATACAGTTAAATTGAGTAATAGGCAGTTTCCGGCTAATGGCTCAAATTTCAAGAGCTGCTTCCCACCCACTGCCTAGTACCTGCATTCCGACCCACTGCCTGTAATCGCCTAGTAGCTGCTTCCCACCCACTGCCTAGTACCGGTACCTGCCCACTTGCAAAGCCTCTGCTTGCTTATTGCAATGCAAGGTAGAGATTTGGCTACATATCGAACTGAAGTACTAAAGGAATTGGCAAAACATACAGAAATTAACTAACCGTAAAAACTAACCTCCAAAAGAACAACCCCATAGTCAGCGTCAAAGCTGCCCAATCGAATCCTGAAGCAGCAAAGTGGGCCACCATTTTCAACAGCACCTCCTAGGCAGTGTGACACGTGCTGCTGGCAGGGAGTCTGCTGCCAGGGGCTGTTCCGGTGTCAAACTGTACGTTTGTGTTCTCTCTAGGCTATAGTGGGTTAGCCTACAAGGGGTACAACACTTTAGGGTTAGGTACTTGTACTCATGCATGCTACCTAGTCCACCATTCCTACCTGCTTATTCTAACATGGTATTATTAGAGCAGAATCATTCCTAGGGCCCACCGAACGTTCAGCCCTGCCCTACCCGTAAAATTTTCTTCCTACGCTGCCCCTGCAGCCGCCCTTGCAGCCTGCGCGCTGCCCCTGCGACCACGCTGCTCCTGCAGCCGTGCTCGCCCCTGCGACCACGCTGCCTCTGCAGCCATCCTCACCCCTGCGACCGTGCTGCCCCTGCAGCAGTACTCGCCCCTGCGACCGTGCTGCCCCTGCAGCCGTGCCTGCCCCTGTGGCCCGCGCGCTGCCCCTGCAGCCCGTGCGCCGCCCCTGCAGCCCGCGCACTGCCCCTGCAGCCTGCGCGTTGCTCCTGCAGCCCGCGCGTCGCACCTGCAGCCCGTGCGCGCTACCCCTGCAGCCCGCGCGCCGCCCCTGCAGCCAGCGCGCTGCCCCTGCAGCCCGCGCGTCGCCCCTGCAGCCCGCGCGTCGCCCTTGCAGCCCGTGCGCGCTGCCCCTGCAGCCCGCGCGCCGCTTCTGCTGCCCGCGCACCGCCCTGCCGAGCGGCGCCGCCCAGCCCGAGCCGCACCGGCCTGCCTGAGCCGCGCTACTTCTACTGCTTTCTTAAAAAAAAAGACAAAAAAAAAGAAAAAAAAAAGGGTTTCCACTGCTGCGGCTGCTGCTGCGGCACTCGTTGCTACTGCTGAGCTGTGCCCTGCCGAGCAGCGCCGCCCAGGCCGAGCCGCGCCGCCCGAACCCGAGCCGCGCCACCCAAACCCGAACCGCCCTGCTACTACTACTGCTACTGCTGTTGCTGGTGGAGGTGCTGCTAGGGGTGCGGCCGCCCAGCCCCACCGAGCCGCCCTGCTACTGCTACTACTGCTGCTGCTGCTACTCGTGCTACTGCTGCTGCTGGTGGAGGTGCTGCTGGGAGTGTTGGAGATGCTGCTGGTACTGGAGGAGCTAGAGGTGGTGGACCTACTCCTGACCGTCGCTGTCTGTCATGGCCACTATTGCGGCAGTTGCTGCGACCAAGGGTGGACAGCAGCGGGCACTGCCTCTCCCGAACGACCCCACCCCTCAGCAGCTTCGTGAGTGGATGTTTCAACGAGGCAGTCCTGGTGGTGGAGGTTTTGGTTTTATGTGGCCTAAGCGACCTCGCGACTGTGCTTCTCAGCGATGCGTCCCTGGCTGTGTCGAGGTTACTGCTCTCGGTTCTAGTGAGTCTGCTGCCGCTCCAGGTGCTAGGGAGTTTGCTGCCGCTCCAGGTGCTAGGGAGTCTGCTGCCGCTCCAGGTGCTAGTGAGTCTACGGCCGCTCCAGGTGCTAGTGAGTCTGTTGCCGCTCCAGGTACTGGTGAGTTTGCTGCAACTCTAGGTGCCCGTGAGTCTGCCGACACTCTAGGTGCTAGTGCGTCTACTACCACAGGTCCTGCCTCAGCTGAGGTCTTGCACACTGTCACACTTGACTCAGGCGCGTCACGTTGCTTCTTTCGTGATTGCACCACAGTCACACCACTCACAGCACTTGTCCCAGCCTCACTGGGTGACCCCTCTGGGGGCCCAGTAGTAGCGAGAGCCTCCACGGTCCTCCGTTGTCCAGCAGTCCCCTCCGGCTCTCTGTCAGGTCTCCACCTTCCCACGTTCTCGATGAACTTGGTGAGCAACGCTGCCATTCAGGATGGCGATTCGTGCATGGGTCGTTCGGCGAGGCAGTCCTGGTGGTGGAGGGTACAGTCCTGCTGGTGCTGGAGCTACTAGTCCTAGAGGTACTGGAGGTGCTGGAGGTACTGCTGGAGGTACTAGAGGTGCTGCTGGTGCTGGAGGTACTTGAGCTGCTAGTCCAGGAGGTACTGCTGGAGGTACTGGAGCTGCTGCTGGTGCTGGAGGTACTAGAGCTGCTAGTCCTGGAGGTGCTGCTGGTGCTGGAGGTACTGGAGCTGCTGGCACTGGAGGTGATGGTGCTATTGGTGCTGGAGCTGCGAGAGCTGCTGGTCCTGGAGGTGCTCGTACTAGAGGTACTGGAGCTACCAGAGCTGGTGGTGATGCTCGTGCTGGAGGTGCTACTGGAGCTGCTGACCCTGGAGGTGCTGGTGTTGCTGGTGCTGGAGGCGTTGGAGCTGGAGGTACTGGAGGTGCTGGAGCTCCTGGTCTTAAAGGTGCTCGCACTAGAGGTGCTGGAGCTGCCGGAGCAGGTGGTACTGCTGGTGCTGGAGGCGCTAGTGGAGCTGCTGGCACTGGAGGTGCTGGAGGTACTGCTGGTGCTGGAGGCGCTAGAGCTGGAGCTGGAGGTACTGGAGGTGCTGGAGCTGCGGGTCCTGGAGGTACTCGTACCAGAGGTGCTGTAGCTGCCGGAGCAAGTGGTACTACTGGTGCTGGAGGTGCTGGAGGTGCTATTGGAGCTGCTTGCACTTGAGGTGCTGGAGGTACTGCTGGTGCTGGAGGTGATGGAGGTGCTGGAGCTAGTGGTGCTGGAGGTGCTGGTGCTGCTCGTGCTGGAGGTATGGGGCCTGCTTGTGCTCTTCGCCACCTTCTCAGTCTTCTGCCAGGTGCTACTGACTTCCCTGTGGCAGGTACTACTCCTCCGTTACTGTTTCCACCGGCAGACCAGTCACAGCCGCAGCTGCTACCGTACTCCCCACTGCCTAATCCTGCTCCTTACACTGCGGTGACACAGTCCCTGACTGAGCGTCGAGAGCCTGAGACTCGTGCTTCCACCCCTGAGCATCGAGAGCCTGAGCCCGAGCCTAGAGCTGCTGTCCATGCTCGTGTTCCTCGTGTTCATCGTCAGCGTGCTCCGTCTGTCCCAGGCGCTCACGATATGACACCCCGTCCTTCCTCTGTTCCACAGCGTTTTGTCCTGCCGTTACCTCCTGCGTCCTCTCTTCCTGACCTTACTGACCCTCGGTCTGACCTTGCTCGTGCGTCCAGTCCGACCGCTACTCGCTTTCTTGCTACGGTGGTGACTGACCCTTCGTTCTCGTCTCCTGCTGCCTCTGCCTTAGTCGCTGAGCTCGTTGACTTTGCTGCTGTATACTGCCTAGACTACCTTGCGAGCCTTGTTTATGACCTTGTCCCTGCCTGTCCTCCGTCCGTCGGGGGTGAGACTGCTCTTGGCTGTACTGCCCTTGGCTGTGACGTTCTTGAGGACACGCGGGAGGAGTTGGAGTGTCTTGCGGCCGCTGCACCCCATCTCGCGACCATGCTGCTTGCCCGTGAGGGAGACCCGAATGCACTTGACATCCCCACCCCGCGCTCTTACAGAGAGGCGATTTTGGGTGAGTACTCCTCTCGATGGCAGACAGCCATGGATGCAGAGATGGAATCTTGGAAGTCCACAGGCACCTACGTCGATGAGGTTCCCCCACCTGGGGCGAACATTGTCAGTGGCATGTGGATTTTCAGAGTGAAGCGGCCGCCGGGTTCTTCGCCTGCCTACAAGGCACGTTATGTTGCTCGAGGTTTCAGTCAGCGTGCGGGGGTCGACTTCTTTCAGACCTTCTCCCGTACCCCAAAGATGACCACTCTTCGGGTGTTGCTGCACGTTGCAGCACAGCGCGACTACGAGCTGCACTCCCTCGACTTCTCGACAACTTTCCTACAGGTAGCCTTCACGCGGCTATCTAGTTGCGCCGTCCAGAGGGCTTCACTGGATCGTTTCCAGAGGGTACCTAGTGGAGCCTTCGGCGACCAGTATACGGCCTGCGTTAGGCGCCCCGTGAGTGGCACGACACACTGAGGATGACACTTGCGACTCATGGGTTTGCTCCTTCGACTGCTGACCCGTCGTTGTTTCTACACACCGACACTACTCTGCCGCCGTTCTACATCCTCGTGTACATCGACGATTTGATTTTTTCTACTGCTGACACTGAGGCACTGGCCCTA